AACGCCTGATTGCAGCCAAATTTGCTCTGACTGATATCACGTCGCTCTCTAATTCCTGGTGCCGACTGATTTCAGTCCTGGGTGAATGGTTGGCTCAATAGCTACGACAGTTCTGATTCTTCCGATGTTCGCTAAGGACAGCGGGGTTGATTCATCTTTGAAATGAACCCCGCCTTAATTGTGTCCCTCACGCCCGCGGAACATTGGTTGACCACGTCCAAACTGCCTGTGTGCAGCTCGATCGTGAGAGCATGCCTCCAGTTTGACTCAAGTGACAGAAAAGTACGAGTTTGACCGTCCAACCAACATCCTGGTGGACGCAGGGGAAACGAAAAGGTAGCCAATGCAGCAGAATGCAACTGCAAAAGAACTCACCAAAAGGTGAACTACGAAACGACCGTTGAACCTGCATCAGGCCTCCCAGTAGGCATATGACTTCAGGGATTCAGCTTGCATGTCAATCTGCCCCAAAGCACAAACGAATCGCCCCGCTTGCCCACGTCCTAGCAACAAATACAAGATGTTGATGGGTCGAAAACAAAGGACCACGCATGCATCCGTGGATTCACTCAATCAATCCAACCGAATCAAGTCTTCCAATCGAATCCATTCCAATCTGCCAATCAACCAAGCAGTCCATCAATCCCTCAACCGATCGATTGATCAATCAACCAGTCAAGCACTCACTGAAATCAAATCGAACCGACTCAAGTCAAAACAATCCGTCTGTCCATCCCTCCATCTATCCAAGCAACGAGCAAGTACAACTAGCGCAGTCGAGCATTATATAATCAATCAAGCAAACATTAAACATCAAACGTACATGAATCAGGCATCACACAAGCAAAAAACAAGCACACAACAGGCAAGAGCCATTCATCAGCCAAGCATCCGCCAAGCATCAGCCAAGCATCGAATCTGTAAACCCTGTGAAGCCAGGTCGCTCAGAAATGCTATGTGGACACAGGCATTTTTGAAGAGTCCAAGTTGTGTCAAGTTGTAGAGACCGGGGAATCCCAGTTTTGGATTGCCTTCCTTTGCGGACAAATCCGACGAGCTCGCGGGGATTTGTGCGAGACGGCCCTGAAATGGGTGCAACATCACCTGCGAATCAGAACAGGTTTCCAAAATATGTGCGACATAACCTGGGAATCAGAACAGGTTGCCAAAATATTCGTTCCCAAAGGCCAGGTGCCAATCTTTTGCGGGGAACGGTTGGATCGCTGCTGGCTCACGTCTCGATCTTTCGCATCTTGCGTCTCGGTGCCCGGGCAAACGCTTCTTGAAGGCGCTGAAAAGGACCTGGAGGCTGGGACGACAGCGAAAGCCAAGAGAATCATTTTTACCCCATATTCATCACCCCCAGTGCTTTGGGGGGTGTCAACCTGGGTGAAATGTGGGGAGTCATCACTTTTGAAGGGGAACATTTCCTATGAATAAACTGGGGTTGACTAATATGGGGTCAACATTATTGTGTAATCATCTAACCCCTTTGCAGTTGAGGCATGCAACTTTGGTTGCAGTCTCACACCACCTCAAACAGGTTCCCTCAGGAAACAGCACATGCCCACTTCGCTGAAGCCAGTGGACTCTGCGAGCTTCTCAAGAACCCACTGTTGCTTGGGAGATTTTTCCCAGGGAAACCTTTCAGTGGCCGTACCCAGCGCCCGAGCGAGCGAGCGAGCGAGCGAGCGGCCTTGCGCTGGGAGGGTTTGAAGCCGTCCACCAATGAGGGCACAGACCTCTCGGACAGACAGCCGGCTGGGGAGAAGGCCAGCGGCCGGCGAGGGGTCCGGTATGCCATGAACCCAAACCGGGTGTGATTGTTTCCATGTGGAAACGGAGACAACAAGAAGGCCAACTGCTGCTGAGACTTGTAGCTGTGTCCAAGCAATCACCAAACTAAGTTTGGCAATTCGAACACTGAACAAACTCTTGCAATTCGAAGATGTGGCTTTAACCGAGGCAACGGATCCCACAAGAACGGGGTGCAGGTTGCCAGGGAATCCCCACGTCTTTGCTCCCAATTTCCAAGTTCCTGCTTCGCTCCTTTCTGAAAGAAATCACAAACACATCTAAAACCGGCGGCCACAAAAAATGCGTCCAGTTCAACATGCGCTTTATCCGTCAAGCCCCGATGTGTTGGTTGTGGTCATGGCTCCTCAGTGGCCACAATCAGGGTTAATGACACATATGTGTTTGTAGACTGATTGGTTGTATTTCGTGTTTTTTCCTGGTGACTCATATGTGTTTGCTATTCATATGACTTTGTAGATGCTATTGATGATGATGACAATTATTTATCATTATTATTTATTAGTTCTGTTTTATTCATCAGGCAAAACCGCATTGCTATGGACATGCCTTTTTGATGAGTTCACATTTATCTGTGTCTCCTACATATGTACATATGAGCAGATTGAGAAAAAAACAACAAAGACCCAAAGGACTAGCCGAGTGAAAGGCTTCCCCAGAGTCAGCCAAACATTTCTCACATTGTTCGGATTGGATGAAAGTCCAGGTCCTCCAGTTTTGAGAGGTTAGAATAAGTTGGTACCCAGTGGAGAGGTTAGAGCAAGGGTAATCTTTTTTCTGTAGTCAATTTTACTAGGGGAACCCTCCCAACCAAAAAAGGGGAGAGAAAGGGCACCAATTGCTCGGGGACCTAGAAGTCCGAGGCTTGCGTGTGCGCCCAGATCTGAAGCTGGGCTCTGGAACCTGGACACGTCGTACTTTGCGAACTGCACCAGCTCCTGGCTACGCATGGGTGCCCTGCCCATGTTCCACCACTTGCCTGGGCTGCCCGTTTACCGATCCCCCAAAAGTGACTAACTCTTAGTGAGTTAAATGGAAACTACCACTAAACACTAAAAGGCTAAAAAGCTACGGGGATGGCTGGGGGCCACCAAGTTGCAACCAGTTCTCATGAAAGGGGATTCCCCCCAGAATGCGCTATAACATTTGCCCACTCAACTGGAACCTTGGGCAAACGTATGCAATCCAAAGTTCAGTAAGGCCCCCTAACCTCGGTTGCTGTCTGCTCCCCTGCTAAAAGTTTAACTTTTAGTGGCTTACTTCAGAAAACACGTAGTTGGCAACAAGTGAAAGTCCTAACACCCCTTGGCAAAATGCGCCAAAGTGAACACGGTAAGGTGTTATACTTCCATTTTTTCATTTGCTTTCCCGCCCCCTGGAAAAAATAGACAAACTCCAGTAGTGATAGATTCCCTTTAAAACCCTTTAAAACCAACAATGGCAACTAACACATATTCTTAAGCAACATGCACCAAAGCAACCCACAAAAATCCCCTGTGGCGCCGCTGCGGCAACACGGGCCCTCCTTGTTGATGAAGTCCGCGTAGGCCAAGGGCTTGGTGTGGTCCACCTCGGACACGTTTAGCAGGGACTGTCTCACACACCCGCTAGCCCAATTTTCGTTTTTTGTTGTCTTCTTTTTGGTTAGGGTGACCAAACATTTATTGTTTTTTTCTTGGGGACCTCCCTGAAGCCTACCTGGGAATCTGGATCACCTGGAACCACCAAACTCCTGAGGTTGGTTCATCCGGGGTCAGCTGACCTCCGTTTCAACGAAGAGGCTCTTGGATGCCAGCTCACGTGGGGATGCACCTGCTCGCATGCCCGCGAGTTGTCGAATCAGAAGCACTAGAGCCTTCCCAAAGCCTTCGATAGCACCGAACACATGAAGCAGAAATGACCAGAGGTTTTGCAGACATCCAGGAAACATGTCTTTTGACATCGCAAACTGCGAGATGAAATCCTCTTGGCCCTCCCGATGTTGGGTTACATCATCCCTCGACCATCTACTTTCACCCCGAAAGACTTTGGCGTCACAACTGCTTGGCGTGAAGGTCTTCTGTTCGGAAGTCTGTGGCCGGTTTGTCTCTGAGCACAGTGGCTTCGATCGTTTGCCACACTTTGGAGCTTTGGACAGCACGGAGTCACAAAATCGCTCAAAGGGGGGGGGGGATTGTCAGCCAGAAGGCTATTTTTGTTGTGTGATACCTGAAGCTTCCCCGTCTCAGCTCGCGGCAACCATGCCCTCCTCATAGTTGTTGATCCATTCCTGATCCGCAAGAAAACAGCTTTCCGATGGAGAAAGGGGGTAGCGACCAAGAGACTGCCCTGCAAGACCATGTGAGCTGGAAAAAAAACCCGTATTAAAACTCTTATCCCAGGATGTTTTCATTGCAAATCCAAGCGGCGGTCTTCATAAGAGTGAGGTCCCCCAAAAACATGCCCCTTAAGTGTATGAGGTCTCAGGTGTGTACACCGCTGCAAATTGTTGCTGGCTGCTGCTGCTGCTGGCTGCTGGCTGCTGCTGCTGCTGGCTGCTGCTGCTGCTGGCTGCTGCTGCTGCTGCTGCTGGCTGCTGCTACTGCTGCTGGCTGCTGCTGCTGCTGCTGGCTGCTGGCTGCTGGCTGCTGCTGGCTGCTGCTGCTGCTGCTGCTGCTGCTGCTGCGTCTGCTGCTGCTGGCTGCTGCTGCTGCTGGCTGCTGCTGCTGCTGGCGGCTGCTGCTGCTGCTGCTGCGGGCGGCTGCTGCTGCTGCTGCTGCCGCCTGCTTGCTGCTGGTGGCTGCTGCTGCTGCTGCTGCTGCTGCTGGTGCTGCTGCTGCTGCTGCTGCTGGTGCTGCTGGTGCTGCTGCTGCTGCTGCTGCTGCTGGTGCTGCTGCTGCTGCTGCTGCTGCTGTTGCTGCTGCTGCTGCTGCTGCTGCGCTGCTGCTGCCGATGTTGTTGCCAGGCGCTTCAGCTGACGCTCCTCTGCTAACAAAATCACTCGGCATTGTTATCCCTTGTGCTCCAGCCCCTTATGCACTGATCTGTTTTCACTCGCTCACACTGCCGTCGCTCTCTGAGCTTGTGCTCGACGAGCCTGTGGCGCTTTGAGAGCTTTGCTCCGCTTCGGCATCTTGCGTTTGCAACCGCCGCCGCAGCCGAGCCACTCCCTTCAGCTGCTTACTCTTGTGACAAGCCAGGCGTTCCTACAAGGTCTTGGTTGGCAAGATCTGTCTTGGAGGAGGCCGGTTCCGCTGGGCTTCATACACCCGTTTCAGGTGATGATCGGCCCGCCAGTCAACCTCTTCTTCCCATGGCTTGGGCCCGTCGAAGAAGGTTTTGCGCCAAGTCTCGGGGGCATCCTCGGTCAAGGTCTCCAGTTTCCAGTCTAGCACCCTGCACCGGTCATCACTGTCTGCGAAAATTCTGTTGACCAACGCTGGAGGCACAGGCGCTTGCCCGTGGTGCGGCTCCGCATCCAAGGCATACGTTCCTGTTATTTTCAAGGAAGGCGCATGCAGAAATTGTCTGACACTTGCCCTCCTTTCTGGGTAGCGTACCTTTTTGACAATCCATTTTGGCCCGCTTGGGTCCTTCTGCATCTGAGCAGCAGCACCCGTCTTCAGAGCTTGCGCCATATCGTCTATATTGTAAATCGGAAAGCGGGCAGCGTGCTTTCCGAGCCAGCCATCTCGGTGCGTGCCGGTCCATGCGAACATCTCATCAAGGATGCTCTTTCCGTGCTGCTCTGCCAGCCATCTAATCTGGATCGGCTGCTTCCGCGCCTGACACAACTTTCGGGCGTAGAAAAAAAGATTCCCCGCGCTGCGGAAATGTGGTCCTGTATCTGACCACAGCTGCAAAGTGCCAGAGAATGGCGCGCCAGTTGCATTCAAGGCTTCTTGCAACATCAAGTTGCTGGCCTCTGCCGGTTGCTCCACAACTTCCGACAAAAACAGCAGGAAGGTCAGGTCGACTTGCGGCTGTGCCACAGTGGATTTAGTTGAATGCTTTACGAAGACGCCCCCCCAGCATGCCAGCGAAACTTTTTGTTGACAATGCCACATAGGGCCTGTCTCAGTCGGCGCCAATGGCAATCTCAATTTCTGCCGAAAATCGTACGCCATGAGGTAGTGCTCCTGCGCCAGCTTGTCTATAAGGCTTCGAAAATATTCGCCTTGCCTTCGGGCTGACACCATGTGCCACTGGAACGCAGTAAGCAAGGACAGGCGCCCTTTCAATTCCAGTTCTATAGGCGCCTCCACTTCAGAGAATAGGGTCAGCCTGTCTGCTCGGGATAAAGTTTCGCGCTCGTTCTGGAATCTGCTGTGGTGAGTGTGTATATATTTCAGCAAAGCACTTGCCACCTTGGCCCAGTCACCGTTCTGAGCATCCTCTGCTGCTCTGCCTGCAGCGTCCCATGCACGGAAATACACTGGAAGCACAACCTCAAGATCTCGCCGAGCTTTCTGCATGAATTGCTTGAAATCTGGGACCAGCTGGCAGTGGAACGTGTTGCAGTGGGTGCACATATCGGTTTTCCTGCTGCCTACCCGGTACTCGCCGAAGCACTCTCGCAGCATCTTTCTGCAGGTGGGCGCCGCCATCTTTTCGCGCAGCTGTGGCTCAGAGTCATAAATCGTGCTTGGCATGGCAAGCAAAGACACTGCCGGGACAGCTGCAGTTTCTGCTGCAGTTTTTCCTCGGTACCTTCGATGGCCACTTTCAGTAGCCTCCACAGCCACGATCTTGCTTCCAGGCTTAGAATGTTTGCCTAGGACTTTTCGAGCCAGATCCAACATCTCCGGAATGAATGCAGCCCAGCTTGCTCAGTCAAAATGGCTACAAGATGCAATGACTACGCATCCCCTGCATCTCAAGTCAAGTCTAACGCCAGACTTGAAACGTATACCAGTAGAGCCGGCAGAGCCGGTGGGCGGAAGTTTCTAAAGCGAGACGAGTGCCTTTAGGAAGAGCTTCTATCTATCTATCTATCTATCTATCTATCCATCACCAGACCTTGCGAAAGTGCTGCGCCTGCCACGAAATCTGCACTCGACCTTGCGAAAATGCTGCGCCTGCCACGAAATCTGCACTTGACCTTGCACGGGCACAAAACGCTGCGCCTGCCGCGGAATCTGCACCTTAGGTTGCCAAAGTGCTGCGCCTGCCACGCAAAATTGACCTCCGAAAACGTCTGCGCGAGCATTACAGTGGGCAACATCCCGCCCCCGTGGCGAGACCGTGGCGAGACCGTGGCGAGACCGTGGCGAACCCGCACGCAGAACAGAGGTACCCTTTGCGATTTTCCGTCCTGACTTCACTTCTGAGTGCATCCGGATCTTGTGACTCAACTTTTCGTATTACGGAAGTTTTCTTACTAAACTTCCTTTGATCAAAAAGATAAGGACGACAATGATGATGATGATGATGATGATGATGATGATGATGATGATGATGATGATGATGATGATGAATCATCACTGCGTTACTTGCGCTTCACTTGCGCTTTACTTGCGCGGCCCCATGTTTGACTTGCGCGGCCGCTCCTGCAACACACTCCTGCCATTCAAATTACAAGCGGCGGTGCAGCTAATTTGATAGGTCCAAAAGACCTGGGATCATGCCTTACATTGACACATACAACGTTTTTTTTTTTTTTTTTTTTTTTTTTTTTTTTTTTTCCGACTCATGTCTTTTGACCTAACACGCCTAGGTCAACCCCTGATTGCGAAGGCCCCCTGAGATTTTTCGGGGGTCCCAATTTGTTGGCTTCATTTACTGTGAAATCAGCCTATTTCACACCAATTTAGCAACTCTTACCCAAAAACTCGGAAGATCCCCTTCACGATTTCAGGCCAAAACACGTGTCCATGCAAAGCACACACGCACACACACACACAGCTTGCGCGTGTAAAATGGGATAGTGGCTGATGTTTAGGATCTTCACAAAACCAAAGCGGGCAGGCATAGGAAACAACTCTTGTTGCGTGCTTGCCCAGCGGGTTTCCCCATAAAGTAACTCCCGAAAACCGGGTCCCAACAAGGTGCTTCCTCTCAAAGCGATCGCTTTGTAAGGTTCCATGTTGATCTGCTGGGGAAAAACAACTCCCTTTTGGGAAACCACGGGGGGTATTAACCTTCCACAACCCAAGTCCCACCAAGCTGCACAAAATTCTCACGCAAACCCGGTACCCCCTTTGTGCCGGAAATGGGCCGGAAAGAATCTGCGATATCTGCAATAAACGCAACACCTGAAGCAAGGAAGAGGTAAAGGGCCCCACTGTGAGCTCGTTGTGCCACCCCCGAATTGGTGGGCTCGTGGGCTGGTTTGCTAACGGTCTTCCACCTGCCCACTCTGATACCAAGACCTTACTGACGAATTCCCTAATCGGAACCTCGAGGCTCTCTGGTACCAACACCTGAAAGACTTGGATCCCCAAGTATCTTCATGGTGAGCTCGGTTTACCGAATCGGTGAGCTCGTCATACATTCCTCTCAGAATGATTGAACTGTCTGGATTCCCCATATAGGGTGAGGGTTTCTTAGTATAGTAGGGGGTCGAGCCTCCCAAAAACGGCGCTGCTGGGTTCTTCATATCCATCCCTTTGGAGCCCGTCTTGTTTCCCTTTTGGCTTGGGACAAGCATTGGGAATTTACTCACCGCAAATGACCTGGAAATCCCAGGCCTTTCTTCCAGCGCCGGGGATTTGATTTTGTCGGGACGCGGCCCGCTCCCGGCCTTGCGGTCGTCGGCGCGCTTCTTGTTGAAGGCCAAGTCGATGGCCTCCCCGTCCTCGCGAAGTGCCCAGGTTCAAGGGGTCCCTCATGAGACGTGGGGCGCTTCTGAGGCTCAGGAATTTCCCTTTGCAGTTGGTTTGAAAGGGACAGGAGAAAAAACCACATTCTGTTGGGTTGCAATCCTTATTTTCCGAGCCACATGTGAAACGAAAGGATTCAACCACTTTCTACAAGTTTGAGAAGGGCAAAGATGTAGGATGTCGCGAGGCCTGCCAAAACGCCCTTGCCCATTGGCTTGCAACGAGCTCCAAGGTAGTCATGCTTTCCTAGTTTCCAATTTTTCTCCACTACTGTTCATCACACGGACCAGGGCTCCCTATCTCCCTTAAAGCATCCCGTCAAAAGGAACCCCACTTCCAATTGGTCGAAGTGATGTCTAGACCCACAGGGGGAAATTCTTCGATGGAGCCCTGGACCTCAGCTCGCTTTCGAACCGCTTCGCTTCGCGCCTGGTCGCTGTTCCAGCGAAACTTGATCTCGTGATTCTCGATCTCGCGGAAGTACTCCTGAAAGTGAGCGACGTTCAAACCCAGTGACCTTCAGTTCTAACATTGTGGTAAAGGTTTTTTGGGGACTACTGCAACCCCATGGGCACTAGACCCCCCTAGACATTGCATTGTTGTAAAGGTTTATATGGGGATTACCCCAACCTCCATGGGCAGTAGAACCACCTCAAGTGGCCAACGTTGGCTTTCGGCGCGCAAGTGACACTGAATGGCAGGCATGCTGAATGTTCACCAAGCCGGTGGGTAGCCAAGCCACCAAAACGATCTTCTTTAAGGGATATGCGGTATCTAGAGGGGGAAGTTAGTAGATCGAAGTACGCGCGAAGAAGCAACCATATGTGTGTGTGCGCGCGCGCTATGGTTGGGCGTCCATGGGCTTGGCACGCACTTTGCAAAATGCCTGTTTCTCTGATACCAATCTTCCATTTGCTTGAGTCCCCTTGGAAAAAGACATATGTCCAGTAGTGATAGATTCCTTTTACAACCAACAGGGGAACACCAAATGGAAGCAATGCTTGTGACCCACTTTGCTATCTTCAACCGGTTGGCCTTGGCCTTGCAAACCCAAGCCATGTTTGAACATCCAAAGCTGAACTTGCCTGGTTCCCCACCGGGGTCCGCCTCCCGTGAGGCTATGAGCTTGGATTCTTTGGGCTTCTGCTTATGACAACAAAAAGGGTTTCCATACAAACAGCACACACCCGTATGGCAAAATTGCCTCAAGAAGATTCAGGCTTTGTCAAATACATGACATCTTTTGGAGCCTAATGCCGCCTGCCGAAACCCAACATGGGATGCTTCTCAAAATGGTGGACCGAGAAGAGACACCTAAAGGAGACCAACCCCGGTCAGTAGAGAGGTTAGAATAAGGGTACCCTTTTTTCTGCAGTCTATTTTAGTAGAGGAACCCTCCCCCCAAAAAGGGTAAAAGGGCTGGGGGACCTAGCAACTGTTGTGGGGAACCGCGATTTTGAGAAACACTCACATGGGCTTGTCTTAAAATCGTGGACGCCCCAAACTGGGTGGTTTCTTTTGGCTTCCAATGAAGAGCATCCGCCCTGAGTAAAGACACACCCACATGGGTGTGTATCAAAATGGGTTCGGGCCGCCTGGTGGTTGGTATGCAAAGGAAAATACAAGGATACCGTGGACCCGTACTTTCAACGGACAAACTCCTGTTGGGATGGATAAACCCCTATGAATACTGGCATAAGCCACCAATCCCGGCTGGTGCGAAACAGGTTTTGTCCACGCATTTTCCCCTTCTCTTCCCACGTCAAGCAGGATCTTCCCAAACATAGGAACCTATGCAGTTTGAATGGGCGTTCATCAAACTCAGCAATTCTGGGCAGCAGAACGTGTTTTGTTGGCAGCAATATGGCTGCGGCTCAAAATGAAACAGGAGGGGCAGACCGCAGGTCTTGGTCCATGTTTCCACTTTCCAGGGCAAGCCTTTTTGGGTACCCTCCCACCAACTAACATGGAAGTGCACAGACCTCTGTAGAAAGACTACTTCCCTCTTGGAAAGGGGTTTGTGCACTTCTATGTTAGTTGGTGGGAGGGTACCGTTTTTTTTCTTCTGAGCCACAGGCACATGTCGCCCAGTTTGACCCATGATCCACCTCCGGCCACTCTTGCCACATTTGTCCCGCCTTGGCCTCCTTGGCGGTGCTCGTGCCCAGACCTTTGTAGTACCTCGTTCCCGTGCTTTTTCTCGGACGCGGGAGAGGCGTGTTTTGGTTTTTGGTGCGTGCCATGGATGCACAGGGATTCAGAATCTAAGTGTAAGACATTGGTACCTGTTTTCATGCTTCAAGAACCAAAAGCAGCTGTGCAGGTTTCACTTTTGGAACATATCCTTAATCATGGGGTTTTCGGTCGCAAGTCAGACTGATTTTCCCAGCTTGCTGTAACTTGCCCAGCCTCAAAAGACAACCAGTTCCCCTTTGGAACCTTGGCCTCGTTTGCCGCCTTTCAGGGTCGAGACCTGCAGCCTTACTCTGTTGGAGAAGCCAAGAGATTGACTTGTATGCCGGAACGCCAGTCAGCACTTTTGGATATGGAACCGCCAAATACCTAAACACACACATATATATACATATATATATATATATACATATGTGGTCCCGTGTTCCGTGTTGCTACCCCCCCCCCCCCCCAGATGGTATGGGTCCCCGGCCCGAGACCCGAACGCTGTACCATATATACATCCCAAATAGCACAACTCTCCGGGCCATTTGAGGATTTCTCTTGGTGTGGGGTGTATGGCTTGGCAGTGAGGCAACATTGGAGGCAATGTTGCACTCCAAAATAGCGGGCGTCCCACTCTTGATCCGGATCACTTTTTGGAAACAAGGAAAACCCTAAAGGTAATACCCATGTTGAGGTTCGCATATGTTTCACACATATTTGGGGTTACCCCTTGCCGCAAACGCTCAAATTTTAGATTTGGAGGACAACCTAAAGTTGACCTGTGACTAAAAGAAACACTGATACTAGGCGGTATCCGAATTTGGAGCTGATTTCCCTCCTGCCAATGAATCCGAAAAAACTCAAGAAATCATGGTATGCACAACTGAATAATGTTCTTCAAGTAAATGGCTATGAGTTTTAAAGGGGAATCTAAAAAGAGGCTGGGGTACACGGAACTGCGCACTCTGATGTCAAGGGTCCAATTCACGACCAGGGTCCAAACCCCAGGGAAGAGTTCCATTTCAGGTTGCCTTTTTTAGGGGATTGCGGTGTTCCTTTTGGTTTGCCTCGAAAACCACCGAAAAAATCGGGTACCCAAAAAAGAACCAAAAAGACACACCCATTGTGAGACCCCCCACCCATAACTTCCATTTGGTGAAGACCCTGGGAAAAAATGAAAAACTAATACTAATAAAATATTTCCAGTAGTCATAAATTCCGTTTAAAACCAACAGGGGAAAATAAAACAATCTTTTTAAGCAAATGGGAGATAACCCCGAGGTCTTCTTCGTAAACCCGTCGCGAAGCTGGGGCCGAGGCTTGGATTTCCAGCCGCGGCCACCGTCCGTGCGCTCCTTCCAAGCCTGGATGCGAGCGCCCGTTTCACGCGAGCTCACTTTCAGGTGGAGCATGACCATGGTGAGGTTTTATGCTTCCATTTCCTTTTCCGTTTTTTTTTTTTTTAGCAAAACAATTCCAGTAGTGATAGATTCCCTTTGAAACCAACAAGGGGCACTGACACATATTCTTAAGCAAATGGAAGTATAGGCTTTACTAGAAATCCAATGAAACCAGGGGTCACACACACAATCGGACCTATTTTTCCAGCCCGGAACTTTTACTGTAACGTCAGCTAAAAAAGGAGAGCAGCTAAATGGCCCATGGGAATCGGATGTTGGCTCTCAAAGATTACTCAGCGGCCCCCCTTTAGAACAAACAGATCTTCCAGATTTCCTCCCAGTGATATGTGAGCGGTAGGCTGGTTGATTTTGAAGGGACCCCTCTTGGGGTGTAACATACAGACCGACAACCCCTTTTCCTGGGGTTCCCCCCCCCCCCGTAAAGGTATCCTCAAAACAGCAACCCCGTGAAGCTCTTGCCCTTTGAGCGTAACATCTTAGCTCACCCATGTTTGGGGGTTGGAACCGCTTCCAAAGAAGCTCAGTTGGCAGATCAGTTGGACTTCTCGCGGGCGCCTGGTACTCTTGGAGGGTGAAGAAGCTCGTCTCATGCTGCCGATCGTCCGACTTCTTGCCCTCCTTCCACACCTCGCGGATCGCGGGTTCGCAACGCTCCATTGTCGGGGGAGCCTCCCATGGGCTCACACCCCTTGTATGTCTAGGCCCTCCAGTGGAGAGACAGAATAAGGGTACCCTTTTGTCCCCAACAGCTGAAAGCTTTGGGGTCTCAGCCCAGATAGGCTCCAGGGTGGTCCGGGGCGGCCCTGAGGTAAGGTTCCACGAGATTTGCATGAGGGTTCCACCAGGGTTCCACGAGGTTCTGCGATGGCTGCGGGGTGGTGTGAGCACTAAAAAGAGCCCCGCATGCTGTTGGGGATATCACACGAGCTTATTCTGTAGTCTATTTTACTAGGGGAACCCTCCCCCAAAAAAGGGGCGAGAAGGGCACTGGGGGACCTAGCTGTTTAAGCAAATAGGTTATGCATCCCTCCTGTCTGGGTGGCTCCAAGCCCCAGTAAAAGGTGAATCACCTGCTCCAGGTGTTGTGGGCCAATTGGGTCACACCAAAGACAACGTTGCAACCCTGGCTGCAACTAAGTTTGAACATCCCAAGTTTCCCGCAGGAGACTCCCAAGAGCTGTTGGCCTTAGAAGAGCTGGTGGGTTTGAGTCACATTGCTCTCCAAGAAATGCCCGAAACAAAAGCAAGCGGGGGGTGCGGAAAACAACAACACATCCATCTTTTTTAGGAATTCTATTTGATAACAACACACTAGGTCAAATAGATTTTAGAGACAATTTTCCACTCTATTTTAGGAAACCTATTTGCTTAGAACGCAGAAAAGGACGTACAAGTCAGGTATTGAATAAGTCTAAACTTTGAACAACTCTCCAAACACTCCAAAGGAGATGCTCCCCTGGTGGTCGCCTTGACGATGGGTGTGATGAACTCCTGGCGCATGGCCGCCACGCCGCCGATAAAACAACTAAGGCCATACGTAGCATGCGGTGGGGTACCTTAAACTTAGTTGACGTTGGAAGACGAGCAAACATCTAAATTTTAGCAGTTAAGTGGTTGGATTTCCCACTAAATCACCATAAGCAAAAATGCAAAATGCTTCCCAACAACAACCATGTAAAACCAGGTTTCGTCATGACTTTTCAGGAACCGACAAGTAAGTTAACTAGCCACTGGTACCTTCGAATCCAAGTGAGTTGCTTGCCTGTTTTAGGGGGGTGGGTCCAAAGTGACACCCTCAAGATCATCCTCTAGGCAAGCCACCCCCAGGATAACTTTTGCCAGACCCCCTCGACATGTTCATCATTCGTTGTTCCCTGTGTTTTGACTCCCCCAGCAAATGGACTACCAGCATGTTTGCCAGATCGTCAAATCTTGAATGACAGCTCGTTCGCTCAGGTGAGCTCGCCATCAACTAGGCAGGTTGCGGTTGGACATGCCCTTCGGGCTTTGCTGCTTCAACTCGCAGCTGGTGCGAGACCTTGCGACAGGTTTGCAACTCTCCCAACAAAACTGAAAGCACATGGGGTCCTGAAGGAGGAAACCTAGCACATGGGACATGCGCAGAACGCACACGGGGCTTCTTTTTCGGCGGTGCGCATGCATGCCGCTTGGCGATCAGGAGTACGCGTTTTTCGGTGTTGGGCCCCGTGAACTGGGAAGGTTCCCTCAAGCTGGGGTTCCCAAGGGCAGTGAACAGGCTGATGGGTGGGGGCAGTGAACACAGGCGCCGCTGTTTAACCATGGCCGGTGCAAAACCAGTTGGGGAAATGCAGCCTCCATGTTCACTTTCAGGAGCCGAACCAAAGGGCTCCCCAAATGTGGTTTCGAATGAGAACCCAGCAGGTGCACTTGCGAGCTGGATATGAATAAGTGTCAAAATAGGGGTAACCCCAAAAAAAGGACTTCGTGCGGTTTTCCTCTTGGCTTCTTCTGACCAACTGCAAGGGGAACAAGTACCAGCTCCCAGAAACGCGCACACACACACACACACCCATATGGGTGTCTCCCAACATAGCATGGTCGGTTTCCTTGGTCCAAATGAGCCAAACTGTTTGATGGCCCTCAAATGGCTCCGACTTCAATCGTGAAACTCTCCGAGTCCCGCAACTCGCGCGAGCCCCCGCACTCGCCAACTCGCCCGGCTCGAGTCCTTGAGGAAGCCGTTCATCTGCGCTAAGGAAGGCCACCAGTAGTGGATCAAGTTGATGAGCAGCCCCTGGCGTCTTTTTTCTTTTTTTCTTCGGAGCCCTTCAGAACTTCGCTCAAAATTCAACAGCTGGGGGTCACGCAGGCTTTTGTCTACCTTTCCATTTACCAGGGCAAGCCATTTTGGCCCCTTTTGAGCCACACCCAAATGGATCTTGGTTTTGCGGGACCCGTTGGTTCTTCTCAAGAAGACGGACAACACATGGCGAACAACATCAGCCTGGGCAACCAAAGTGATCACTTTCTTTTGGCTAAGGGAAAATGAAGGGACACCCAAAAGGACACAAGGGTTGACAGATGTCGCTTGGCTTCATTTAGGGAACCAGGGGCAAGTTGGTTCAAAGCACATTGTCCAGCCCCGGCGACTGGCAACTGGGTTCAGAACCAAACTGGCAAAAAGTTTAAGTCCTAACATCCAGGCAAAATGCACCAAGTACCAGGTTGGTACCCAAGGAATATATTGTATGGAATGCCCTCGGGCAGGCAATGTTTAACCGTCAGAAGTGGCCGCTTGAGGCCCAAGCTCCGTTGCGATCGATCGGCTGACATGTGGAACCCGAAGAAAACCGCATTTGTTCGAGAGGATGCTCCCTTTGTGGCACCCACGAACGGGTTCCATGTTAACCTGGCAAATGAAAATGCCGAAGCTTGGGATACAACAAAGTTCCAAACAGTGACACGTGTAGAGCAGGGGAACTTACCAAACTGGAACATGTTTGCTCCCAGGCTATAGACGTCCTTTCTGTTCATGTTTGCGCCGGCCTCCCCAGCTACAGCATTATCCACAAAAAGGAAACTCTATTCGAAGTGGCAACCAACCAGTGGGTGTGTCTTTTTCGGTATCTTTCTGTTGTGGGAACACCGCCATTTTGGGAGTCCAACCTGAACAACATACCCAGACACACCCCAATGATGAATGTCTAAACAACCCGAAGAGGCCCGCGCTTCGACTCGAAGATCGTCTCTCACCTTTTTGGGCCTGAACCGCTCACACTGGGTTTGGCTCCAAGTGCGATATGACCGGAAAACAACACTGAACCAAATGCTCTGAGTCGTGCTAAATTACAGGGCTTGCCCTGTTCCCCACTCGCTGCACATTTAGATAATCAGCCGAATGCAACAAGCCATGGGACGTGTGACCAGTCAGGATGCTGCCGTTGCCATGTAGGCGAAGCTTGTGTTTTATACCTCCAGGAATCCAGAACCACTTGAGGAAATCCGAGTTGTTGTAAAGCAAGGCTATCTGCAGGACCACCCTAAGCTCAGCTGTCCAGGCTGCACAGAGCCTTCAATGGGGTGTGTGCACTCACACTTGTGCAGATTGTCAAGTCGCTCGCCGCAACGCTTGTCCAACATGGCACATCTGTGGCTCGCACAAATGCACAGCCGCAGACGAGATCTGTCTAAACAAACGTCGATGCTGGTACAATTTTGGGGTAGACTTTTTGCTAGCCCTCAATAAAGAACCGAAGGGTTTTTTTCAGCTGGACCCGATTGGTGGGTTGCAAGCCGATGCCGCACTCGCGCTGGGCATGGAAAAGCGGCGCGCCTTGATGTGGGAGCCATCCGGATCTTGATCTGTCATGAGCCTCGGGGCGTGTGACCGAGTCAAATTCGTGAAGCCTGGGTTCAAGACAGAAGTTGGCGATCTCAGGATATCGCCTACCGGTGAGTACACTTACTCGATGGGATGGTCTTTTGGACAGTGCTCATTGCAGCATCCAGCATGATTCACGCCAATCTGTACACATAACATGACATATTTACATGTGGATAGAGGGTCATAGAAGAACAATGTACACGCACACACACATGATTTACACATGTATACATCATACGCACATGCCAAAGAAACTTACACTGGACGGTCCCCTTGTGGCTTGGCAGCATCACCAATCCCAAGTCCCAATCCCGCATCCAAATTCCTAAGTCAAAAGTCTGCTTTCCTGATCCGTGACTAGGCAGCCGTCCCCAACGTGATTTTCTGCAAGCTCAAAAGTGAGGACTTGGAGTAAGAACTGCGGGGGCAAAGACGTAGCTCAGTGATCCCGGGCAAGGCTGTCTTGGGATCGCTGCAATGGTCTGAAAAGGACGGCGACACCGAACGGGAAAACAAAGCAATGACAGAAAAAAAGACTTTCAAGCACTTCACACGGATGAAAAGCCTTTGCCAACGTTTGGGGGAAGGGCCAGCATTTTTGTAAGAGAGTTAGATTGCTGCATGATTCATATCTAGAAACATATTCGTGGCCACATCTAGCCCGCGAAGAGCACAACAAGGACAAAATGACTTACGAAGGACATATATATATATATATGTGTATGTATAATTTAACAATACATGTGCTCACGTGAAAAGCCTGGAAACCTCGACCAGTCATCAACACCCTGAGTAAATCAGCTGTGATATTCAACATGGCTAAGCTCAATCCTAGCCAACCTGCAAGTTCGTCCCTGGATAAGCTCAGAAAGTCGCCCGCTTTCTCTTTCATTTTTTCCCCCGGCTGAAAGCTATAGGGTCCGGGGCTGTTGGGTCCCGATGCCCATACCTGAGCTTATTGGGGTGTCACTTGTTTCTTCTTTTTTTCTTCTTTATTTTTTCCGGCAACCCCGCAAATAGTTGGCTTTCCCTGTTGGTCTTTCCCTTTCAACCGGAAAAATAAGCGGGGTAGCCTCAAAAAACGAGCAGGGGGTATAGGTGCCTCATCTTAAGAGACACTTAAAGGGGCAGTAAGTGGTTAGCAAGCCTGGTTGTACCACACTTAGGAGACTTCAAACCATGGTAAGTGGATTATAACCGGGCTTCATCACTTGCCAAATACCCTAGCATCCCTAGCACCGCGGCATTTGCGGGGCCTCACTCGTTTCGGCTCTTTCGGCTTTGGCCCCGGCATGATGGATCCGTATCGCAGGCCCGCAGTGGAGTCGTACTGCCGCTTCAGATCTAGGCCTTCGTCGTCGCTTTTGGAACCCAACTCCAAAACCAGAGGTCCTCCAAAGTGTTTTATCCACTGGAGTGCAGTATGAAGGGCTCTCTTGGGGGGAAACAAACAAAAGCAAGGCCAAAGGGTACGTAACTACGGGAAATAAACATTGCTTGAAGGCCAAAGGGTAGATAACTACGGACGACGAACAGAAGTTGAAGGCTTTAGGGTGTTGTACAGGGAAAGATACATCTTTTACTCGATTCAGGTGCACAAATGTTCAGGCTATGTATCTTCCCGGAAGAAAAAAAACACCAAACACACGTGGACTCAACAAACGGAAGCTGTCGAATGCCGGAGGCGAAGATTCTCCAAGCTCCAAGTTCCACTGCTGGCAACTGAAGCAAAGGCTGGCGAAAGGGGCCCGGCCTTTCATACAAGGTATGTGTCAAAAGTCGGGAATCGGAAGATTAAATTGGAAGCCTCAGAGCGTACCCTCAAAAGAGCGCCTGCAGTACCGAGGACCCTCTTTTTCCCCACAGACGGGGGGGCCCACACAAGTGGGAGGGAACACCCCTCCCGAGTGCCTCGTACCTTGTTCAGCACCCTCGTCTGGCTAGAATTGGTCAACCCCAAAGAGACATGGCTTTCGTCTTCTAGGGTCGCTGGGCGATTGAGGGCAGCTCCCTGGTTTTTTTTTCTTCTTTTTTCTTTCGCTCGAACGGCCACCTGTTTTGTGTGGCCCAAAGGGGCAAAGGAAAGGACCTTTCCAGTTTCTGGGACTCGCGCCCAAAGCGGCCGGCGCGGAGCACGCCCGTTTTGGTGGATTTGGTCCTTCTCAGGTGAGCTTCTGGCTTTTGCTGGGAAACCACTGGCAAGCCCAGCAGCAAGGCTAAGAACTTTAGACCTTAGAACAGTTCGGAGAAATCTCCTAGGCTGAGATGGATACACTCTCCCTCTGCCCAGTTTTTGGGCGCCGGGCCCATGATTTGAAGGAGGTTGGAGATCTCGGCGTTGCCGGTGACCTGCAGACCACAACCCTCTGAAAGAACGTCAGCACAAAGTGCCACTGGAACTAGGCTGTCTAAACAGGCAGACTTGACTGATTGTCGGAGTTCCCCCCCCCCCCCCCCACTTTTCTGCACGAATGAATCACAACCCACCAGCCGGAAGAACAATGAACCCCCACGCAAGGGCCGAATCCGAACCCGTTTTTGCCCCCGGGATCGGTGAGCTCCTTGGGAGGTCCCCTGTGCCAAGTTGGCTTTGAGGAACATTTGCAAGACCTGCCCGCGCGGAACAGAAGCATGCCCCACCATTAACTTCTCTTTGTGCTCTGCCGTCGCTACGTTTTCTGGCTGTCATGACTATCCACAAAACCAACCGTGGCAAACGACATATCTTGCCAAAACCATCACGATGCACCAACCTGAAATCCGGGACCCACACGACATGTCTTCATGGGGCCGCGTACCCCGCTTTACGAGGTCGGTACGGCTTGCCCAGCAATCGCCTGAAGAAAGGGCAACTACAAGTTTACAAGTTGGCGACTGAAGACTTGAGCAGACGCCCAAAAGTAGCTGGACATTGCATGACCTTTCGGGACCTTGGTCAAACATGGGCCAGTGAAAAACCAATACTAGGTCCGCCAGTAAAGAGGTTAGAATAAGGGAACCCTTTTTTTCTGCAGTCGATTTTATTAGGGGAACCCTCCCCAAGAAAAAGGTAAAAGGGCACTACTGGGGGACTTAGTTGTGTTGTTTTTGCAAGGTTCCTTTCAGCCCGACATGGCTTCTTCGAAACACCGCCCGCCTGCTTGAAGTTGGCATCCCGGACGTTGAGCACCTGTCAGACTCTTTGAGTTGCCACCGGTGTCCTGTTCTCCATGGGTTTGTCGAAGAGTTTGTTTGGGGTTGCCCGAAAAGGAGCTGCCATCCCCATGAACCTCACGCACTTCGCCTGGAGGGAGAATAGAATAGCCACGAATCTGCATTTGCCAAAAGGAGAGAGGTGACCACTCGCCCCGCAAACGAAAATAAGGGCTGGATGCTCTGGGTGAATGAAAAGAGTTGGTCCAACTGAGCAGCGCCGAACCAGCTAGATGTTGTAAACGCCTTATAGCCCTTAGTCCAGAAGACTGGCCACGGGCGCTTTTTTCTTCTGTTTCATGGTTCCTTCGCAACTCAAACCCCGAGGAAACCTTCGTCCAGAACAGCCACCACTGCACTGGCGTAAGCCAATCATCTTTTAGTGGAAAACCGCCGCAAAGAGCTGCCAGGTTTCCGGAGCGACAGCTGCATGCTTCCCAAGAGACCCTCAAACTAGAAATACCGATAGAAACCTAGTCTCAGATGCTTCATGGCCATGGGCAAAAAGGGCACCCTTTGTTTTGTTGGTTAAGTTTAAAGGGGAGCGCTTAGTCAAAAAACACAAAAAAGGGCACCACTGGGCAACAAAGCAGGAAAGGATGAGCAGCCCCATATTAGGTACAGCCAAATTGGACCACGGCTCGAATCAAGGGGTGTCCTCCAACATGGCGCCGGATATTCTTCTTGCATGCTCTGACCTGTGATTGCTTGGGGCAAATGGCTGTTTTCTATCGGGGAAGGGCTTGTTCCCCGTAAACAAATGAGGTTGTCTGTGTGCAGAGGAGATCAACCCAGCAAAGGGTTCCTATTGAGGGATCATGATTTGGGATTTCTTTGGCATTGTCATGGTGTCAATGGCACTCCTTTGACTCCATACGCCTCCTGGTTTCAGGGGAGTCCCGAAACGGTCAGGTTCTGTGCATGTCCGGGAGTCTTGACCTTCTCACTTGACACGGAAATAGGCCCTGGCCCATACACCCGTCCTGCCCATACCGAATAGCCAAACACGGCGGGTTGATCTGTGGCAACCCAGTAAAACAGAAGCAAAGCAGGTGACCAGATCTTCCATTGTGCGCTGATCAGAAAAGCCTAGGAGCAATCGTGGACAACACGCGCACACACACACGCGCGCGCCAGCGAAAGAAGGACAGCGGTATTCATAGCTGTTTCGTTACTGGGCTGCCCTCTGATCCCCTGCTAAAAGTTTAACTTCTAGTGGGTTAGATGGAAACTACCACTACAACAGTAAAAAGCTAAAAGGCTAAGGGGATGGCTGGGAGCCACCAAGGTTAATTCAATGAAACACCGACCATCACCAAACAAAACAGACCAACAAGGGTGGACTCCGCGGGGAACAAAGATGTCACGCGAGAAAAGAGCCCTTCTGCTGCCAAACAAATCTCGGCGACTGGCGGATCCGCCTTGCCCTTCAGCGGGAAGACGCCGTACTTGTCCCTGCCCACCTTGGCTCTGGCCACTCTTGGCGAATTGTGGCAACTTACCGCTCGAATCGGTTTCGGATGGCTGCGCTTGCAAGGCCATGATTCACCAACCGAACAGAAGGGATCCCGCGGAAAACCTGTAGCATGGGTGATATCGCAACGCCCGAGTGAAGTCCTTGTACTTTGCCCAAACGCTGGATGATGAATAGTTGCCTCAAGCACCGCCAAAATGGTGTTTTTAAAAAGGACGACGACTGTTAGTGGGGGCGGGGTCCAAATTCTTTGTTGCCCCAAAAGGCATCAGAACATTAGGTGTTTGTTTGTGAGGGATTTCGGCGGCAATGTTAATCATATGGGTTGTTTTCAAAAATCAATCCCCAAAATGCTTGGGTCAAACTGATCGACTCCCTGTTGGACCCCTACAAGGTCGAACATCATGACATTCAGAACCCTTAAAGTGATTTCCGTTCTTAGCAAGCTCCCGATATGTCCAAATCAACGAACCCTCAGACCTGACCAAGCCCTGACATAAAACTCAATTGTCAGCTTGCCCGAAACTGAGCCCTTTGTTGGGATTAAGTGGCAGCAGTTCCGTTGTTCTTTGCGGCTTCCCACGACACATGAACAGCACTAACAGCGAACAACACGTACTAAACCGCTACCATAGGTCTCGGAAGCTGCCAGCACAAACACATGCGCGAGTGAACGCGGGCGCATTGTATATATATATATATACACATACACATATGAGTTCTGAGTTCTACATGAGTAGTAACCTCGGCTGCCCCCCCCCCCCCCCCCCCGCAAGCGCAGATCCCCCTGCAACAAAAGGGATGGTAGTCCAGCCACGCGTCGCTTTGGGTTGGGCCCGAGGGAGTTTCTGAGAGAAAGCGGGGAGCAACATCAAGTGGAACACGCTGAAAAAACTCACGACCCAAGAACTACCCCATCAACCCCATGGGATCAGATGCCTTGTGCGTTCTGAATTCGAAGAGTTCCTGAGCCGCATGTCTACTTTGGCCAACCTCCCAGCTCAAACCTTGGCAGCCATGTCCCATCTCCACACGCATGCTCTTTGAGAATTGCATTGTCATCATTAAGGATTTTAGTGAAACTCCAAAAGGATCCACTTGTAGAGGAATTTCCTTTGGAGGAAAGGGCTCTTGGTTAAAAACAAAAACAAATCCACATCAAGTGGCTGGTCCTGGATCCGTTCGGCCAACTGACACTCCCGGGCTCATTTCGGAAACGAGCCAAAGGTTTGCCGGGCTGCTACACTGACGCCGGCCACGGCCAGGGATTTGGCCTGGGGAGCATCAAGCGCGGGTTTGGGGGTCCGCCCGCACGCATAAGAAGAAGGGACAATATGAACCAGGCTGTCCAAACCGATCCCCGGGTAAAAGTTTAACTTTTACTGGGTTAAATGGAAATCCCCACTAAACACTAAAAGGCAAGAAAGCTAAGAAGATGGATGGGAGCCACCAAGAGAAGAGAGACCTCCAGGGGTCGAAACCGCCAATTTGTACGCCTCGAACTTGGGTGTTTGTTGGACGCTTGGAGGCTACATCGTTCACCTGGGCATAAACAGTGGTCAACCTCTGAAGGCGCAAAGGCGCTGCCTCCCTGGACTGGTTTTTCGGACCGCATGCAAAAGCATGAGGACGTGAAAAAGTTCGTTGACCCAGCAAGTTCCACCCCCACACCCACACCCACACCCACACCCACCCGCCCACACCCACACCCACCCGCCCACACCCACCCACCCACCCACCCGCCCACACCCACACCCACACCCATCCCCACCTTACCCACACTCAACCGACACCCACCCATCCACCCACGCCCGCGCCTGCCCACCCACCCACCCCTCACTTGCTAGAAGTATGGACCAACATAGGAAAACCAAGAGGGCAAGTCTGGGGTGGATGCGAATCAAGGCATCAAGGCAAGGTGTTCTTAACGTCCACTCAGAGACTCAGAGGCTGGCTGTGAGCTGTGTTGGTAACCTGAAATGAAAGCACGGCCACTGTAAATCCCGCATGATTCAACAACTATCAACATGACGACTCACGGTATTCCATGGCACCCTATGGACACCCAGTACCTTTTGCACGTGACCCACGTACGCACATCCGGTCATGCACCAGCACAGGCTTGTTTGCGCACGCCACTGCACACTTGTGAGGCATCCACACGCATCCGCGCTTTTGGTACCAACCCTGGGCTGCCCTCAGATGCCCCGCTAAAAGCTTAACTCTTAGTGGGTTGAATGGAAACTACCACTAAACACTAAAAGGCTAACAAAAGCTGAGGAACCGGATGGCTGGGAGCCACCAAGCCCATAGGCGTTGGCTTCCTTCTGCTCTCCCCTGATGGCTTCCCAGGCTCGACGCAAATCGCTAGGGAGAGGGCTGAATCGCCCTCGGTGAGGATCAAGGTGCAATCCTCTCGAGCTTCGCAGGGCCCTTCTCGGATGCTTACCGTGGATGGTCGCGAAATCCATTTCGCACCACCTAAGAAAACCTTTTTGTTTGTTTGTTTGTTGGTATTTACAGGGAATCAGACCATTCCAGGGCTTCTTGGGTGGTGCGAGAAGCGGATTTCGCAACCATCCACAGTAGGTTCAGTTTCATCTTGGGCAAGAGCCAATACTATTCTATATGTTTCCGAGCTGTATGGTGGGTTCGGAATGCTATGTGAGCCACAGTGAATACTTATTGTGTACAGTACATGCCAGTAAATATTCACCGTTCCTCATGTGTTATGGATTCAACCTACTCCCTTTGTTTGGTACCCTTCGTGCTCTGCAGGGGTGAATCTACACAGCCACGTCATACCCTGGTGTCTCCTTTTGCGTTTTACGTGGTTTCCCGGGGAAAGATCTGCCTTCCCAGCCCAAAACTGCCGGAACAACTCGGGTAGGTTGCCCACAGAGTTGCAGGAGTCCATCCAAAGGACATCCCTGCGAGTGTTCATGTCAGGCGTTTCTTGATTCCCCTGAAAAATCGAAAAGGAACCCATTTTTGAAACCATCTCGCAGCCATTGGCATCGCCTGTTCCTGTGGACTTGCCAAGGCTTTCGTCCCCAAAACTTCGGGTCTGGGAGTGGCATCGAGAAAGCAAAGGGAGGACGAGCGGCGGCCAGGATCTGTTGCCATCTAAAGTTTCCTTCTTCGGCACACATTTGTTGCGGACCCACAGCAAAGAAGAGTATTTATCAACCTCTAGGTCTGGGTGTGCGCAACAATAAACGAGCCTAACAATAGCAGTGTGCCTCCAGGTGGCTGTAATAGACAAGCCTGACAAAACCAGCGTGACTCCACATGACCTTGGACTGCGTGGTGGCTTGACTCCACCGAAACGCTTGGGTCACCCGGGTCTCTCATCCCAAGGCAGGAGATGTAAGGCCAGGGCTGGGGTGACGACACACGAGCGGGGAAAGCTTCTGAGCCACAGCTCCAGCCATAGGTGAACCTTTGGAAAAATCGATGGCCCTGGTAAATGGAATAAGCCCAAACCAGGGCCCTCTCTTTTTTGTTCAGCAGACCCACGAAAAAGGACACCTATGCCTCCAGCTTTCACCTGGGTCTCGCGAAGTGGAACACTCCAAGGACAAACTCCTCGAGGAGTCGCCCTACTTTCCGGCGAGGGGTGGACTGGCGATTGGATCCCCTTCTTGAGGCTTTGAGGGAAACTCAGAGGTTCAAAAGTTCGGTGGTGGTTTCACCAAATGGGGGCTGACCAACACTTCTCAGGATGCCAAAGCTCAGTGATTGTGATTGTCACTTCAGTAGCCGTGGCGGCCGCCAACTGCGCGCGGCTCGGGTTTTGGACGATGTGTGGCGTGGGTGGCCTTTTTCGGTACTGTTGACCCTGGATTAATACACTCCTGTTTATTTACTATGGGGGTGGGGCCCCTCCAAGCCAATGAGTTGGAATGAACCGTTTTGGGATTCCCGAATAAAGGAGGCTTGGTTCGGGGGCTAGTTTTTCCCCGGTGCCCTTTTCTGGAGCGTCCTCTTGTCCTCCCTTGGTGTCATTCCGACTCAGAGCGAGCCCAGGGCTCCTGGGAGTGGCGACCGCCAGCATCGTTGGCGTCGTCCAGCCTGAAGGGAGCGAGCCAAAGGCGCTAAGCGCCCTCTCGGCTCACTGGGGGCGGTGAGCCAACAGCGCCCAGAGGCTAAAAGACGGCCCCCTGCGACTGAAAAGGGTTGGCTGGGGTTGAGGGTTGGGAGTTTGTTGAGAACATCCACGTCTCAGCTTTGAATCGGACAGTCCAAATGGGGCTTGTTTGACCCCATTCAAAGGGCAGCGATCCTCTCTTGTGGTCAGAATCTAAAGTTCCACCATTATTCTAGGGTTGAGTCTCTTTCCGTTCTTTTCAACGCCCGTTCCTTTTAAACATTCGGTGCTTTCGAGATATGCCAGAAGGCTTTCTGAAACGCAAGGGAAAGCTATCCCTAGACAGGACACCTACGCGGTGGAAATATGAAACTCATTCATACTCATTCCTTTCGGCAACCTGCGATGCTTTCACAATTCCCAACCAGAACTTAGGAATATGAACCTCATCCTGGGCTTTGTGTAACACCTTTCGTGCGCTCACAGGCAGAAACGCTGGATGCCTCCTCTGCCGCCCCCCAAAAAAGAGGAACAACATGCGCAATATATTGCAAGTCATTGGGAAGGGCCCCCCTAAAAGAAATCGCAATGTCCCAGAACTTGGTTGGATGTGTGCTGGATTTAGTGAATCCACCTATCCAGTTAACTGCAACGATTCACCAACCTCTTTGGGTCCTATCAGATCTTTTTTAACACACGCAAGCGGGGGAGGGTCCAATGGATCTGTGTAAACATCCAGATCTAGAGGGCCCTTCACTATGGGCGCTGCGACAAAAGGCGAGGCTGCGAGAGGTCCCCAAGTCGCAAAGGGGGAGTGCTGGCAAAGGCTTGCACAAATCAATATTTATGAGCTGAACTCAAATTTTGAGTGGTGTTTTTGTCCTTTGGTTGCGGGCACTGCATGTCTGGAGAAAGGGACCCCCATGTCTTCACAGAATCTCCTGGCGGGTGATTCTAATTGAGAAACCTGCAAAGGATGTCAAAACCAGCGTTTGGGAATGGCTTCGAAGGGACATATAACAACTGCAGTTTTGAAGTTTGTTATTGACTCCGCATGAGGCGTGTTTCACATGTGCATCCCCCCCGTGCCCTATCGCTCAAACTGACCGAGCCCCATGTGAATGCTTGAGCCTCTTTAATTTTTCCTTTTGCCTTGGTTCCACCGCAACAACTTGTCCGAGTGGGAAAACACGGGCAGCTTGATCAGTCCCCAATAATCCTCAAACACAACTCCTGAAGACCACAACGCGGTGCCGCTCAAAACTTTTGGAATGGACGGTCCGCCTTCCAAGAGCTTCGAGGAACGCACCTTTCGACTCACACACCAACTGGGCGTTGCCTGAAGCGTGGGCTTTTTTTGCTGAATTTCGGGTGTTTCCCTTTTGAAGGGCTTACCTTTGACTTCCATGTCCATTTCGAGCTGAAAAGGAGCTTCCCTGTTTCGAGCTTTGCTCAAACAAACATGAACTGACGCGCAACTGCTCTTTTTCCAGGGGGAGACTCAACGTGGTGCCCCAAATTCTTTCAACAAGGGCCATGGTCAACCAAGTTGCACAGTGACCCTGGGAGAAAAAAGGAGCGGGCCACTCCCAGATTACTTTTTGTCACTTTCAAGGGGATGCTTTTGAACCACGCTCTGGGGTGCTTTAAAACCAATTTCACTCGGCTACAACCCAAACAAATCCCCACAATTTGGGGCGTTCAAATGGACTTCCCTTCAGTTGCAGCTTCCTGGCGGGTTCTGACCAAGTTGCCACTTGCGGAGGTCCAAAAATTCGGAACATTGAGTCATTGAGGGCCGGGGGGGAGACCTTTGCTCTCCCCATCGTGGCATCGAACCGCCCGGCGGATTTTTTTCTCAAGCCGGTCCCAGGTGCTTGGGGATGCCGTTCACGCGGCCCTGCGTCTTGCTCGCGCGGAGCTGCTTGGACAAATCCACCTTCTGCTTCGCCTTTACCTGAACCCAAGGAAGGTGTGTCCAGCAGGGAAAAACTGTCCGATTTGAGCTTCACACATCAATTTCAGCTTCTTCAGCTTCATCAATTTGAGCTTCACAAATCAATTTCAGCTTCAGCTACATTGTGATAATTTCGTGGCTGTTTGGACATGTCCCCTTCCTGGTCTGGAAGCTGCAATTTAAGTGGCAATGGACTCTTTGGTGGACATGAAACACCTCGAGATTTATTGGCTCGTCCACACACACACACACCTGTTCGGGTATGAACTTTAAGCAACACATGGGGACTTTTGTCTACCAGGCATTCTAACATATCAGGGCCTAAACCACAAGAAACAGGAACCCTCATAGAAAGCCGCGTATTCTCCTTTAACCAGGGCACTCTGCGAATGGCTCGGCTCAGGTGTTCACATGACACTTTTTCCAAACCCAGGTGATTTCAATAAGATCTGAAGGAAAAGGATGCTGGGCGGGGGCTGGCGAGCGGGGATTGGTCGAACTGCTCCTCACCGGTCCCCAATTCTCCGGTTTTGTGAATTCTGGGAACCCAAAACACGACGTTCAGTCACGCCCGTTTGCCTGTTCGTCCAGCTGGCTTCCCGCCAAAAACAAAGAACCCGCAACGAGCCGGCGCCTGTTTCCTAAGAATCAACCGACTACAATCAGTGTCGACCCCATATCATATGTATATTTTGGTGTTTCGTTGACACCCCTCCCGCCCTACGACACCATTCCCGGATTTTTAGGGGTCCATGTCGGGAGCGCTCGCGCAACGGCCAAGTGCTAAGACCAATGTGGCACTCGCATCTTTCGCATCTGTCGTGTACTGATTCAGAGCGGCATCCAATGCCGGAAGTTTTGTGACCAGCGAGTTTGCGCCAAAGGGGCCAAGCATCAATGATCATCTTCTGGCTCCTGTGAGCCAAACTTGGATTCATGATCAAGGCACTGGACTGGGCTGAGGGGTATCAAGAAACCTGGAAATAACAGGGAATTCTTCAGAGACCCAGACCAGAGCCCCACTCCTTGAGACCCCACAGCTTAGAAGTTTGAGGCCATGAGGCTGATCACGTTTCTTAAGCTGGGCTTATGTGGAAAGGGGAAGACAGAAATAGCTGGTCAAAAACCGTTGGTAACCGCAAAATGGCGCAAGCCCTGGTAAATGGCCACATGGACGATTTAACCTGCGGTCCCATGGCATAAAATTTTGACCCATACCCAAATGAAGACCTCCAGCTAGAGCTGCACTCTCCCAACTTCCGACTTCGGCTGGAGATCAAATGGTGGCTCAAAATTAAAGAGCTAGGGCAAACCGCAGGATTTAGTTTTGGTTCCATTTGCCAATGCCATTTTGGTACATGTTTTTGAGCAGCCAAAATTCTGCACGCCCGACGCATCGAGGAATGGGTCGATTTGGGCCGGTGCACCCAGTCAAGGATCGTCTCCACGATGCCGCTTTTCATGACCTGCGGAAGGCGGAGAGCGTTTGAAGAGTCCGATCCATAGGTGTCCTTCTGGAAACAAATCGATGGGTTTCCCTGGTAAATGGGGCATAAAACCCATCTAAACCAGTGCCTTCTGTTTCTGACCACACCAAAAAGGACACCTATGTATTCATCTGTGGTCGACTGGTCGGTTGGAGCCTTTGGTGGATTTAGGTTGGGAGTCATGCCCACCCAGGCTTTCTGGTGGCTGATGCTCCGGAGGGAATGGCCGAAGTCCTGCCCAGGCATTCCCTTGCTCCTCCCTTTGGTTTTCTTTTTGCTGGGGATCCAAATAGACGAAAAGGGCAACTGGGGGCAATAGCAAGTGTGGCTTTTTGAGGCTTGCCTTTTCCAGACGGAAACCAAAGAAGCATCATCCATTTTGGGGGCCTACGTATTTGGAGACATGCCCAAAGGATGTCGCTGTAGGATGTCGTGGCCCATGTGACCGCGCGCACATGAAAAAGAGTAACAGGAAGGAGCTCTAGAGTCTTTCATCTGATCAGCGGCATGCCCGTTATACCAGCCATGCCCGTTAAAAACAAAGATACCATCACGAATTCAGCAACCGGGTATTCAACAGAGGTGATGTTTAAACTTGCCCAAAAGGGACATATGCCCGAAAAGGACAGGCCCATATCTCGCCAAGGACTTGGATGAATTGAATTGAGCGGCTGAGCACATGGGTTGGAGGCTGTGGCTATTGGAGGCCGTGGCTATTGGAGGCCGTGGCTGTTTTGGGCGCCAATTCCAGCATCACCCTGCCCAACAGACTGCCGCACATGGCTCACACTAATACACACCACACAAATAAGCAATCCAAAGCACTGTTTCTCACATGTGAGCCCAAGCCGGGCACATCAGACAGCGCATGAGCCCAGCTTCACCTGTCTGGAAGCGGGATCCCAAACGCCAACACCGATTCAGCAAACGTATCGAGCGATCAAAAGCCATTGACCTCTGGTACCAAGATGCTGCTACTTGCTTCACAAGTCAAAAGTGATGTGGGCTTTTGTGCATCGCAACCAATAGCGTACTTGCGCAGCAATGCTTCCCACTTCCGATCAAAAGCTATGTAGGCTTAACCTCGTTGAACCCAGCAACATGGCTTTCGAGGATCGCCCACCTCTGTCCCCCTTCAGCTCGGGGGCGATTTTGGAGTCTGGATACTGTTGAACTGAAATCCACAAATGCCGTTGAGCCCAAACAACAGATTTCTCCCAGCATCTCGACTAACTTTGGCTTTAGCGTATCCCACAGCACCGTGCGAACAGTTCGAGGGCCTGGTAACCGCGCCCGATTCGCGACTCAGAGACGAGCCGATGCGGCGAGTCGGTTCGTCACGTTCCGCCTGCTTGATGGTCTTGTCCGAAAGCTCGCAGCTCGAGCCGAACCTCAGGCGATGGCGATCAACGCCGCGTCGCGCGCCCCACTTTCCAATTGGCTGTGGCTCAAAAAACCGGAATTCCAAAATAGAACCCTGGTAAGTGGAAACATGGACCAAGCGAATTTCTTGCCCAGCTGCTCCCATTGGCATATTTCAGCCAGATTTGGGGAGAGTCAATAAGGCTCGCAAGTGTGGCCCCCCCTCTGTACGAGCCGACTTGCCACCCAATTTCGCTTGCAAGGCCAAACGATTGGCAAGCGTGACAAGGGAAAGAAAGCAGTGTTTGTGTGGAGCTAGGCCGAAACAACCAAAGACACCGGAAGATGCATGGTTTGAGCGGTGCAAGCACATGATTAATGGACTCAGATTGCGATCCTTCTTTCCAGAAAACGACCATAGTTCATGTCATCCGGGTAAGATACGATACCTCATAAGCCTGAAATAAGACCCCCCCCCCCCGGGCTGGTAAGAGGCTGAACACAGGCAACGTCAGTGGAAACCAAACAGCCAAGTGGGATTTGCCATAAGTATCCCTGGGTTAGAGATTTGATGCCTTTCTGGGGTTGATAGTTAAACAAGGGGTGCCACATGACCGTGTGAATGATGCCTGATTTTGACCACATGGCCTTTGCTTGTTTGCACAGCCGCAACGTCAGTGAGAAAAACATGAGGAAGGGGGTTTGGGGTTGAGATTCGATGATCTCCTGCATGCAAAGCCTGTTTTCTCTGTGGAGGGTTCACAAAACGTCACTTCCCCAGTTGGGTGTGTTCATTTTTTAAGGCAGCCCCTCTTTTGTGGTTTAATGGCGACCAACCCCATTTGTTGGGGTCCACTCTAAACATTTGTGGACTTCAGAAGGCCTTTGTCAGGCGGGGCCAGTGGCCTTCATTCACCTACAAAACACCCAGGCCCTAAGCAGACCTCCAGGTGGGGAACGGCTTTTTCCCATTGGAGGTCAAGGAACATACAGGGCCAATCAAGGCCAATCAAGGCAAAACCCACGAAAAGGTGTCCAGTCTCAGCCTGTCAGGGGACCTGGATGATTCGGCTGCTCAAAAACTTGTCCGAGTAACCATTGCCCGTTCAAAGCATACCATCGCCTGCCCGACCTTCCAATTTCAAGCAGGGAAAGGAGGCCCCAGGCTTGGGGTGGGGCCCCCCGCTTGGCTTGCTTGGTGGTGAGGGTCTCCTTGGTCTGGGAGTCGAAGGCCGGATTCTCCACCAGGCAGTTGATGAAGACCCAGAGGTGGTTCCGCACCTCGATGTGGCCATGGGTCAAAAACCAAATCGGTTAGGTTCCAGTGAACATCCCAATCCAACCACTAAAAACAAAAATGAGTGGCGCGCCCCAAAATGGGATCCCATTGGTTTTGACCCACAGCCATGTGTCCCAGGTTTGGGCCGTCGGCCCAACGGGCGGCTGCAATCTAAGGGACAAGAACCGGATGTTAGGAGACCCCCACAGCGTGTTTGGATGACAGGCTTGGGGCTTTGGAGGGGTTTTCCTTCCGGCCCAAAGTGGCGGGTTGAGGGACAGCTCACTGGAGGAACTTGAAGGTGGACACTCAGATTGTTTTGCTTTTTGTCTATCCAAACAGTGATTTTGGTGATGCAACCGTACAGGTGGGGTGGCCCAGGTACGAAACTTGAGGGACTTGTGTCAGGAATGTGTCCTGACAAACAAAACCAGGCGGTTGGGGGATCTTAAAAAACACCCTTGTCCAGAACGGGGAGGGGTCAAATGGGGCGGGTGAGGCTGTGGCCAGTCACCCATGCTAATTTTTGGCTCCACCAGTCAATACGCTTCAAAAACGATCTCCCATAAGTTTCGTGCATTGATTCGAAACATCTTGTTCGCCGACCTTGGTAACTTGATGCATTTAACAAGGAGGCCAAGCGGGTTGCTTTACTACCTCGCTTGTCCCCGCCAAAACGCCATGTCCGTGAGGAACCTTGCGCCAAAAACAAGGAGTAAGGATTTCACCTGTCAATGCAAACACCCCGTTGACGTTTGGTGAACCAACATGGTACAGATTTATATAAGTGATGATCCCTATAAGCCAGCTAGTCGACTGCATCTAAAAAATGCGACCAACCTTTTTCCTCGAGCCAAGAAGTCTGAACCACGTCGGGCAAAAACAACTCCGAGATTAGCGAGGTGCTGTGGGTTTGTCTCAAAATAGGGGGACCCCCGAAACGGACAGGTTTCCTTTTGGTCTCCCTTTAGACCCAAGCCCAAAAAAATCAGCCATGTACCACCCGAGGGAAGCATCATGCCATGAAACCCAAATTTCAGGGCGTTGGGATGGGCCGCCGGCGTGCGTTGTGGCGCCGGGCGTGCGCTGGCTTGATGTCGATGCCGCCGCGGTTCTTGCCCTTGACCACCTGCAAGGCCGTCAAAAAGACGCAAGGTATTTCAAGGGCGTATGCTCATGGTTTTACTTCCAGACACAACTGGGAATTCCTGACCCGGCAATCTTTCGAAAGGAGTGCATTGCTTTGGTGTCTGTTAATGGTCGGCATGGATGAACCGGTGTACACAGGCAAAGCTGGGGAGGAGCGAAGCGAGAGATTGGGTGGTAGTGTCGTAAGCAAACCCTTTACCAACCCTGGACCGCTAAGCCAGCAAACCCACCCTAAACCAGCCCTTTACCAACCCTGGACCGCTAAGCCAGCAAAAAGGCGTTCCAAACAAGCTTAAACCCACCCTAAACCCTGTACCAACTGGAGCAAAAAGGCGTTCCAAACAAGCTTAAACCCACCCTAAACCCTGTACCAACTGGAGCAAAAAGGCGTTCCAAACAAGCTTAAACCCACCCTAACCCAGCCCTGCTAAGCCAGCAAAAAGGCGTTCCAAACAAGCTGAAACCCACCCTAAACCAGCCCTTTACCAACCCTGGACCGCTAAGCCAGCAAAAAAGGCGAACCAAACAAGCTTAAACCCACCCTAAACCAGCCCGCAAAAAGGCGTTCCAAACAAGCTTAAACCCACCCTGAACCAGCCCTAAGCCAGCAAAAAGGCGTTCCCAAGCTTAAGCCCACCCTAAACCAGCCCTTTACCAACCCTGGACCGCCAAGCCAGCCAAAAGGCGTTCCAAACAAAACTTAAATAGCGGTCTGGAACGCCTTTGGGCTGGTTTAGGGTGGGTTTAAGCTTGTTTGGAACGCCTTTTTGCTGGCTTAGCAGTCCAGGTTCGTAAATGGGCTGGTTTAGGGTAAGCTTGTTTGGAACCAAACCCCGCCGTAAATCGTAAACCCACCCTAAGCCGTCAAACGTAAGTTTACTGCCCGCAAAATGTATGGAAAGCTACCAGGGCCTTTGCTTACAACTATTGAGATGTAGCCTTGGGTGGCGCGAATTGATCAATTACTGCACACCTAAAGAGTTTTTGCGATTTGCTTTTTTGTAGACCAGTAGAACTAGCGTTGTTTGTCCTTTTCTCGTTTTGCTCTCTCTCCCTAGCTTTATCTGCGTCTTTTTCTTTCTCTTTCTCTTCTCTTTCTGCCCTTGTTTTTCCCGTTCTCTTCCTTTTCTGTCTATGGTCTTCCCCCTTTTTCTTCTCTTTCCCTTTCTCTTTCTTTTGCTCTTTCTCCCCCGATCTTTCCGCAGTGATTGTTGCTCGAGAAAATGCTTTGCGTAGATCGCAGTCCCTGACATCCCCGGTGCGCAACGGACATATACTCTATTTCAGGGAATGTTGTCTCGGCTTCCCGAACTACAATATCACCTTTTGTTCCTTTTTTGGATGCGTCAACGTTAATGAATCACGCCTCAACCAAAAAAACGGCGTGTCACTTCATCCTCGGGCCATGAAAGTGGTTATCAGATCGATGTGCTCTCTTTTTTGATCACACTCGCTGACAGAAGAACGCTGTGGCGTAGCACTAGTTGCGCGCTGAGAGCGAGGCTTCTACGCATTCTGAACAACCAAGCGTTCATCCATGTGGCGAGGCCCTGCTCCTCCCAAGCCATCTTTTGCCGGAATCCAAGTTTGGTGACAAGTGTGTGTTATCGTTGTGTTTGCTCGGAAAATTTTTGACTAGGACGCCCTGAAGTTCATCATCATTTGTTGGAGAGTGATTGGGGCTATTTGTTCCACCAAGGTGACGACGATTCTCTTTTGGCCATTTGAGGAGATTCATCATTGGATCGACGCGCCATTTAGGTTGGTCCCCAGTATTCTGGGCATCGGTCAGGGTTCGAGCCTTGCTGACTTTTCTGACATACGGATCAGCCCAAAGGATGGTGGTCATGGGCCACATTCTCGGGCTCTGGTTGCGTCACTTTGTTTTTCCTGATGTGTTCGAGACGGTGGTTTGCTATGCGTTACGCTAGTGATCGCGTGTGAGTTGTTGTGCCGTGGAAGCCACCAGCCTCGCTTGTTTGGCGCATGTATCTGCAAGCTCATTACCAACTAGTCATATGCATCTTGAAGATCCTCGCACAAACCGGGGGAAGTGTGGGCTCTGACCTTGCGAAGGCGTTTCTGCGCCCACGCTGGGTTCTCGTGAATGTCTAGCATATCGCTGAACCAATTGAACTTTTTGTGTCCCCAGAAACGTCGAGGATCAGGGCTAGCCATCGCCTCACGGACCAGCCAGCCCTTCTCAGATTTTGGTAACGTGCGCCGCGAAGTCGCATGATCCATCCACGTAAAAGTTGCACACCTGATTGCTGTCCGCAGATGTTGCGCGCAAGGGTCCATTTGGCCTTTTTTCATTGGTGGGCACACCTCCTACGATCCAGGTCCGGATTAGCTGCTGATCTTCGTTGTTCATTCAACTTGCGCGGTGCCTTTTAGTCCAGGGCTAGTCGGGGACACTCTCTTTTCTATGCAAGATACATGTTTTGGCTACGCTATCCCAACTATCGTGCAGCAGGTCAAGCAGCTCCTCGAGTGAGCAGAAAGGACATCTATTTTACCCCATCAGCTGCCGGCCAGCACCGCCCAAGCTTCGAGATCGGGCCCGTGATCGGCCTCCGCATGCGGCCCTCCTCATCGACAAATCCGTCCTCCGTGTAATGGCCGCGCTTCTTGGCTTTGCCTTTGCGCTTGCCCAAGGGAGCAAAGGAACCACTGAACAACTAACAACTGAAACCCACATCCTTTGTAAGTTGACCATGCAAGGAACTGGCAAAGGAGGCTCAAGCAACTTTGGTGTGCAAAAGGACATGTTCAGGGCAGATCATGATTAAGCGCAGTTTTGAGAAGGAATCGAAAAGGAGACGGCCGCGCTCTGGCCCTTGTTCAAAACGGAAATTGAGAAGGACTGCCATATGTCCCGCCCAACCCATGGACAGACAGTCGCCCTGAGCCTTCCACAGCCATAATGTTGTTAATGAACAGCAGCAGTTTCTGCACGTTTGTGCGTTTCGCGCGCCCCTCATTCAAGGGCGCCATCATGCGCCATCCCCTGCCCAGAGGGGCGAATCTGCTGCAAACAAAAGGTATTTGGTGTCCCCCTTGACCCCAACAGGGGTTCCCCTTTGGCTTTTAGGGGTGCTGGGCAACTGGGGATGAGTCCAACTTAAAGGACCTTAAGGTGTCATTTTTGAGTTGCGTTTGTTGCTAGGGGTAAAATGAGCTCACCCATGATGAAGGTCCCAGTTACCGGTCGCGGCTAAGGATCATATCCATTTGAGATCATTTGAGAAGCTACCTGCCGGTGAAGCTGGAATTGAGGTGAGAATACTAGGCCCTGCCAGGACAAAGACTCACGTATACTCACGTAACATACTGGATCAAATGGATGTAACTCAATGGCCGCCTTGCTGGCCAAGTGCACAAGAAAAGCTTTCGCTCGTCGATGGTTTTCGGGTGCTGTCTGCTCTTGCAAAATAGGCAGATGCCCAAGCACTTGATGTCGCCCGGAGCCCGTAAAGTGTTGCGATGGTATGCGATGGTTAAAGTCGCCAAACTGACCTTGACGCTCACATTATCTCACATTTGCTCGACAGAAGTCCCCCAGTTGCAACTGCAGCTCAGTCACCAATTCCGTGACGAGCACATACGAGCACGGGATTGGCGCCCCAGGCCAAAGCTCGAAACCATGCCTGCATGAGCACGCGTGCGTTGATTCACGTACGTCTGTATTGACTACATGCGCGACGAGGCATCGTGCTTCATGCGAATGTTATGGTTGCGCAGCGTCTGGAGCGAAAGGCAAAGGAGTGGCTTCTTCTTTGCGTACCTGTTGACCTTGCCCCGGAACATCCCTGGCGCTGCCGGTTTGGATGCCTTGATCTTCAGGTATCCAACCTAAGTGTTCCAGTGTGTCTGATTGAAGCCGCGGGGCCCCAATTCCTTTTCTTGATTTAGAACCAGATTCCAAGTGGTTTGGAACGTTTCTACTTGAAGACCGCTTGTCTCTTCTTAGATCTGCTCATGCATATATTCCTGCGGGTCTAGCCTATATCCTAATTAGGCGTGCGTTGTTTTCCAAAGAGCGTCTGCCGATCTTGGTGCGACTTTCTTTCAAGTGGTGTCACTATGATGCTGAATTTTGCAGCCGTAGAAAATTTGCGGACAGCAGCTCTGATTACCTCGCTTTCTGCTTCGGTGTTATGGCAGCTGTTCCATTTTTGTTACGTGGCTAGACTTTGTTAATTCGCTTCTGCTGTTGGGTGGTCGTTTGCTTCTTCCCATACCGGATGCTGGCGCATAGTGAATCTCCTATGCGGCTATTTGGGCCTTTCGGCAGGCGGGAGATTCTCCAAGTAATTGGCCTGTGCAGAGCAGAAACATGGTCGACGGGCGTGTCTCAGTTTCAGGCCCACGGCCTGTGGTCCCACCTCCTGGCAGGCTCCGCACGAGCTCCTCCATCCGGCGCTCCAGATCGAGGATCCGCGCTGCGTCACCTACAACTACAGGCGGATGGGTGCAATTAATGCGTGGATTCTGGTTGCGCCCCCCCGCAACCGCATGCCAGCGTGCAACCGGCCCGCTTGAGCCAGCGTGGCAATAGGCGAGGCGCTGAGTTCGATTATGCCGGATTCATGAGCGCGCGTGCCTGCGTGCTCGGTACTGTTCTGAGCGCCGGTCGCGTGTCAGGCTCAGCGTGCTTCAACGTTTATACTTCGGTATTGTCAGGGTTTGCCACACGATCGTTAAAGAGTAGCTTACTTCTTAGCCGCCAACCCCCAACAAAGAAGGCGTTACAACATGCTACTATATCATGGTTACTCCAAGTCTCACACTCCAAATTTGGCTTGGCTGCGGGCTGCACTACAGGGGTGATCAGCACGAAACGGCGTATCACCTTGAAAACCCCCTATCACCTTCTCGCGGGGTGAAGAACACGAAACACATGTCTAGGTTCTCGCAGTTCCTTCCATGTGCGAGCATAGCCTCGCCCCCGGGGGTCTGTAAGGTGTTGCTTGCTTGCTCTGGCCGTGCATGTTAGGCGCATCACCCATCTCCATTGTAGGCATGGTTGCTGAGCTTGCGACCCTGCGGATTTTACCTGCAAGGGACTCGCGCGGGATCAAGCGGACATCGCACGCGCTGTCTCTGGTCGGGCTCCTGCTGCGAAGCCGGACAGCTTGAACTTCACTGGGCGCGTCTGTTGGTTCAGGGCTACTTTTCATGGCAAAAGTTGGCAAGCAGGTGTGGGCCAGAAAAGCAAGTAGAGTGTCAAGAAGGTTCTTTGAGACAACCCTGGAACAAGAGGGAATCAGGGTATCTCATCCTGAAACTTGGTTAATTGTCTGTTCTGCTAAAAATCTGGCTTGAGCCTGAACGAACTAGCGGCTGGTGCATGTGTCATGTGAGCGGGTGCGGGCTTCTACAATAGTACCTCTACTACTACTGGTAGCATTACCACTATTCTACCACCACTACTACTGCTACTAATAGCACTACTCCTAGTATTGCTACTACTACTAATAGCAAGAACCACTACCTACCATCACTAGAAACATTACTACTACTAACTACTGCAATTGATATTACGAGTAACTACTACTACCACTACTTGTACTAGTTTACGGGCGCCTTAGGGCTTGCTTGGGCGTGGCTCAGCGTGGCTTAGGGACGGTTTAGGGACGGTTTAGGGATGGTTTAGGGTTGGTTTAGGGCTTGCTTGGGCTTGGCTCAGCGTGGTTTAGGGATGGTTTGGTTTAGGAATGGTTTAAGGTTAGGGATGGTTTACGGGTGCTTTAGGGCTTGCTTAGACTAGGGACGGTTTAGGCTTGGTTTAGGGCTGGCTTAGGGTGGGTTTGGGGTGGGTTTAGGGTTCAGGTTTGGTTTGAGGTTGGTTTGCTTGTAGTTGTAGTTGTGGTTTGGGGTGGGGTTTGGTGGTGCTGGCTTGGGTGGGTCTAGGTCGAAAGTCACCAAAAGCCACAAAAACTTACAAAAAGAAACAACAGCCAGAAAGCCAGTTGAAAGCAACAAACAACGACAGACATTCCCCTCCAATGCAAGTAATGCATGTAACCCGTTGGTTGAGGCTTGTTCCAACCTTGACGGCCGACTGGCCTCAGTTTCACCCATTCCTTCGATGCTTTCCTTTTTTTCCGGACAAAGGAAAGGCGGTCTGGGGTCGCTGTTACCGGTCACATCGCTAGACCAAGGGAGCCCAGGTAAAGAGCTAACATGTCGAGCTGTTGCCCCAGCTCTCAACGCAAAGTAGGCAGGTGTTTGAAAGGGTTGGTGGTCGTATCCTTTGCATGTGGGCAAACCACGTCCCCTTTTTGGGCTTCCCGTCAATACCAACCAGAAGTTGGTGGCTACGAGAAAGCAAAGGACCCAGTTGATGTGTTTGGAAGTCCCGACCCGGTCTAATGGGATTCTCTGGGTATCAAAGAAACAGAAAGGGACCTCCTCAAAGAAAATGGTGCTAAGGCCATATTGCTCACAACCACGGATTTGCTTTCTGACACACTTATGAACTCGCAGTGTCACAACTAACACTCACCTTCCAACCACTAAATACCCTAAGCCTCTGACCCCCAAGCGTCCGGCCTCGACTTCCCGGACATTGAATCACCCCCAAAATGGCCACCCACCCCCCTCTACAGAACATGGCAAGAACCCCAGACATTTCAACCACCCACTTCCTCCATCCGCAACCCAGTTATAATAAACTTGGTTGAGTAGACCCGTTTTTTCCCTTCTCATCTGGACTTCAGACCAAATTTTGTTTGGGGCGTTCACCCCAAGTTCCTACTAAACATCTACTTAGATCCACTTTTGGGGTGTCACCATCCCATTCTAGGGTGCCAACTTTTTCTTAGGTCTATTTTAGGGGAATCCTCACCAAACAAGGGGTGAGAAAGGGCACGAATTGCTGGGGGACCTTGGGGTGTGTCCTCCCACGAAACGGATTCGACTCAGATCCCAAGGCCTTCAGGATGGCCTCCACCACCTGATCCGACACCTCAGAGCTCGCCGTCGACATTTTTTTTTCCGCTTCACTTGGCGGTGGTCAAAACCGTTTTGGGATCCCTTTTTGGTTGGTAGGTGAATTCACCACACATTTTAGGTTGCCTATTTTAGTGGTTGGGTTGGGATGTTCACTGGGCGAGGTTTTGACCCATGGCCACTTGGCGGTGGTGGTCAAAAATAGTTGGGAACCCCAAAATGGCCCCTGGGAAATGGACACCATGACTAAAACCTGTCATTTTCATGGTGGTCTAATTTTGACCCATACCCACTGTCATAATCAAAACGCGGTAGTAAAATGGTCGTAATCCCAGAACCATGCTTCAAGAATTAAGAAGGCGGCCGCAACTATTTCTGGCTGGGACTGCCCCTTACTAACCTTCATCTACCCGGGTTTTGAACATGAGTTTTGTACATGAGTTTGTAGTAGTGGCATATTTTTTTAACCAGTCATTGGATGCATGTTGGAGTTGGTGCTCCTTTTCGGCTTCGTTTAAAGGGAGCCTCTGTAAGAGAAACCACCGGCGTGGGGCCCTTTTCTTCTGACACATACCCCGCTACGTCTGCTTTGGGACAGCCTTTAAGGAAGCCACCTCTTCAGTTCCCAAAGCAGGAAGAGCACCAAACAACACGGCGATATGTTCGCTTTAACTGGGGCCATCGTTCGGCCATCATCATCATCAACATCATCATCAACATGCGGACAAAAATCAGATCTTTGTCCACTTTGGAGTAACTCCCGGTTCTTGCCATCTTTTCCTTCAAAATCGTCCAAAAGGCGGCTTCCAACAACTCTTTCGGAGCTTGACCAGGCAAGGTGCTCTTGTTACCTGGTCTTCAAAGGCCAGATCGTGAGTCCCTCCGGAAGAAATCGGATCCATGGAATGTCCAAGGGGAGCTCAACTCATGGCTGTGCGTTGACCAAATCGCTATGTCTAGGTCCAGTAGTGCCCTTGTACCATTTTTGGAGGGAGGGAACCAGGCCTAGGGCAGCATCAGGAAAACATGGTTTCATTGGTTTCTGTGGTCCCAATCACTTCCCAGCGCCCATTTTGCCCGAAAGCTTCGTTTCAACATGGCGAGCCCACCAAAGAATGGGTGGTCTCCTTGTCACCTCTCCATTTTTTTCCTCCACCAACGTGGGGCTCCCATTTTATACGGCACACATAGCCAAAAGAGCCCACGCTTCGCCGCTGGCCCCGGGCGAAACTCTCGCTGAGCCTGCGGCGTGGGACACGTGGGTGCCGCCCTTGATGGTGTTGATGGAGTTCACAAAGCTCACCTCGAGAAACCAGCGAAAAAGAGAGTCGAGAAACCGAGAAACATCGAGAAACCAATCGGAAAATCCAGGGAAGAAAAAACAACGAGCACCGTGAGTCGAGTCAAAAACCGAAGCAACCACACAGAAAATCCGAAAAAAAAAAAAAAAAAAAACAAAAAAAAAAAAACAGAAAAGAAAACAAACCGAGCACCGACATCTACAGCGTTTGGAGGACAGTTGGAGATCTTGTAGAGCTTTCTGGACCAAGACTTCTTGGATTCTAGCTCCCAAAGCCCCTGTGGCTAATAACTTAGGCTTGACTATAACCCCAAGAAACACGACTCTGAAACTTGAGCCTTCCTGACGAGCTCGTTTTGGGGCGAGCTTGCCATAAAGGCAAGAGGGTGAGAATGAGAGCAGCTGCCCGGTGGTTTTTGGGAGACTCCGGGCTTTCTTTAGGCCCATGGGAAGCATTGCGAGAAGCCGCAGATGTTGCTGATCCATTTGCTTTTCCGCCTGGAAAAAAAACCCTCTGAAACCAACAAGGGAAAATAAACATCTTCTTAAGCAACTGAAAGTTTTGGTTTCCCTTCACAACATTCGAAAAATGCAGCCTCCCAGCAAGCTTGTATTCCGGAAAAGTTGCTGAAGGTGCTCTTGACCAACAGGTGTCAGGAAAACCGAAAACCGCCCCAAGCTGAAGGACAAAACCTTCTTCATGCGTTATCCTTAAAAGGGGCAGTTTGGCCGACCCCAAGAGCAGGTTGCAAGCAGACAAACACAGCTAACTTGCTCAGAGGACCTGGATCCCGAATGCACGGTCCACCTGTTGAGGTGACAAAACTCGGTTGCTTCTGCTGCTAAAAGTGACTAACTTTCAGTGGTTTGATGGAGAACCCTTTAGTTGGCAAGAAGTTAAAGTCCTAACATCCAAGCAACATGCACCAAAGAAAACATGGGCCAAACAAACCAAAAGCACAACAGCTCGATGCTATGCGCTTTGGACCGGGAAAATCGCCATAAACCGATCTCAAAGACCACACGAAGCACACGAAGCCGCCTGGCTGAAGTTTCCATCCTCAGCGGGGCGCCCGGGGACAACGGAAGCAAACACGCGTGCCGCGCTGGGACACCATTTAAGCCCGTCATTTTCCTCTCTTGGTCGCGTCCTGAACCTCCAACCTTGACAAATCAGAAAGCAACTCCCCTCGCAGCCTCAACAAAGAGAACCATAACCAAGAAATCTGACCGTTGATCTACATAAGATAAAGAAATAAGCTTGTCTCAGGGAATGCCAGAGTTCACGCTGTTCAAAACGGTCAACGTGTGCCGAGGCGTTGCAGATATCCATGGCCAATGGCAAGGACTTCCATTCTCATACTGGTAACACATATTTACCAGTGACCATGTCCCGTTCCCTGCAATACAATAAATCAACTTATGCAAAACGATGAGCTGCAGCACTCTTCCCATATCCCAAAACGGCTTAGAATGGCAGAGTAAGATTTGGAGCAGAAGCTTTTTACGCACACGAGCTTGGGACCCAGCAGGAGCTGGGAGTGGCTTTGGTTTCCAGATGTCCCGTGGCCATGGGAGAAAACATCCAGAGCGCCTCAAACGGCCCGGGGAAAAAAAGAGCGGCGCTACTGGAGGTCTTTCGGCCGAGGCACGGAGAGGCTAAATGCCACCTCCCAGCGGTCGCTGCATTTCTCATAGATGCAGGGCGAGCCTTCGGTCTCGACCGGCAGACCAACGGAGATTCATCGACGCGCGCCTGAAAAGTGGCTATGTCCCAAGTTGAAGCACGCGGTTGGTGTCCCTTTGAGGTACTCTTCCCAGGGTTTCTTGAAGAAAGGTTCAGCCGTTTGAGTTGGAATGTGGGGACTTTAAGGGTCATAAAGTCTGAGCGTGTAAGAATGATTCAGCCGCAAAGGAGTGCCTGCCATGGTTGTGGAACACGTGCAAGGCCTCTTTCTGTGATTCTGCTTGGGCCTCTCGATACATCTTTCTCGGTCAATCGTTCAGATGCGTGATCTTCAAGGCAGAAGGACAACTCTGTTCAGGTATGGGGTTTGACTGTATATCCCAAGATCAAGGCTTGTTCGGTGCTTTCATTGCCTAGTTTGTGAGTCCCCTATCGTTTCCCAATGCTCTCCGTTCATTCACGGGGTGTAACTTTTTGTGCGAGTCCCTTGGTGCTTGCCATGGTTTAGCCCATTTCCACAATGAACCAAACACTAAACCTACTAAACACAGACACAACGAGAAGGCGAACGGTTTCGGACTACACTTGTCAAAAAAAGGAAATGAACAAGTCTCTTTTTGACACACAACTTGGGCCACCTCTGATGTACACAGCAAAACACATTTTCAGATTCTGATTTACATTTAGCCGATTCACTAACAAATTGCATGGATTTTAGAGCACACTTGGGGTTGTAACCCAACTAATCAACGAGCACGCCCCCAGGTCACAGAGCTCATTTCATTGGCCCAAAAGGGCTCCTTTGTCTTGCACAAAAAGCCAAACATGAAACAAGGCCACTTGGTTCCCAGCCAAAAAACAGGTAGACACAGCGTTTGTGACATTGCCTATGCTTGGCTCCCTTGATGTGGGCAGACTGGATGCTTTCCATGTTTAGAGCCAAGCAAGAGGTCCCCCCGAAAAGACCAACCCAAGTAAAAAGCTCTGCACAGACTGAAACTGACCAAAAACCGGCCGAACCAAAGCGCGGATTGAGTCAATTTGCTTAAGCTCCAGTCGACCCACGTCCAGAAAAACATTGCGCCGCCTGCTCTCACCAAAGAGTGTTGCCTTTTGGAGCCTTTGGATCCAAATGCGCTGTGCCTTGAGCTGTGAATTCCTGAAATAGGAGCCCTTGAAACGAGCGGAGATCCATTGACGATTAGTTCTACATGCTCAAACTTATTGTTTAAAAGCCCTATGAAAGCAGGTGGTAGAATCATGGCCAAGCTTGCCAAGGGCGTTGCTCAAACGAGACTTCGACTTCCGCGTCACTTGGTGAGCGCTCCAGAGCCGGGTCTCCGGCTATCATCCCCAGCCGTCTTCAGGAAGAAACCTGTGGCGGGGGGGGGTGAAAAGGATGATGTTGGGAGTCCTTGGACCCCAACTTTCGCCTGGTGGAAGCGCAGGGAAAGGCTTCAAAGGCTTCACTGGCGGTGCAGCGTCGACGCAACCAAACGACTTTGACCTTGCGCTTTGAAAAAAAACGGAGATGCTTGTGGCATCTGTGGATCAGTGGCCTGCCAGGAAGTGCAGCCAGAGTCACGCACATCCTCCCCCCCCCCAGTCATTCCAGCAGTCTGCTTTTGACACGGAACCCCGAAAGCCAGGAGTGACCCGTTTCTCTTGGCCACAGGTTAATTTGCAGGGGAACCTGCCCTAAACGTATGGCCAAGTTTCATGAATCACCGATTTTGCAAGTTTGATATTGATCCCCCAAAACTTTTGCTTGTGCAGGCCATGGTCTTGCCTGTCCAAAGCCTGTACAGTGTTGCAACATGTTTGGCTCATCTTGGGACCATGCCAAAGCGTGGCAACCTCGTTGTTGGCTGGTTTTCAGGTCAGCTAAGAAAAACAAGTGAAAGGCACTCACTCCTGTGCAACCCGCTTCTGGCTCCAACCGGGTGGCTTGGAAGAAGGAGAAATAATTCCAAGACCTAAAAACCATGGATCTCGCATCGCTTTACCTCAAAACGGTCCGTTCAGTCCCAAAACAGTCCGTTTGGGCAGTCTTTTGTCTACCCATCTGGTAGCTCACAAAACAAGTGTCGGATGGATCCAGGGACCCGGCGACAGTAGTCCTCGAAGCTCCTGTCCAAAGGTCTCTTGCTGACAAGGCTCGCAACCCAAAACGTAGCCGTGGGCGGCAAGGAACCAAGCCGTTGGAATCGCCGGGATGCGGCTTTTGAAGGATGCTCTGCTGGCGAGGTTGGCGTGGTTTGTCCCTCCCCTCCCTCCTCTCCCGAACTTTCGGGGAACTTTGACCTCGGTTTGCATATGTGCCATTTACAAAGCGGAACTATGGGGCATGTGTGGACAGGTACCGACCATTTGCGAGGGTGTTCTCCAGAAAAAGAGATTGCCACACGCATAACCTTGACACGATTCACCACTTAGGGGAACCCTTTTGCATAGGTGAGGTTGTGGGCGAAATCAAGACGCAAAGGGGAAGACAACGGTCCCCCGCTTGCACCCCAGCACCCTGTTGGCGCAGGGCTGATGCGCAAGGAAGGGTGTATCAAGAGACATGCGATCGCACTGCTTATGGAAGAACTGCAAATAGGGAAGTTCTTCCACAAAAACATTTTGGGAGAAGGCACGACCAACTGTTTTAGGCCTTTTGGGATTGTATCCGCTGTAGTACCACTGGTTGAAGCCATCCAGATGACAAAATCACGACTAGGGCAAGATTGCCTGGTACAGAAGCGGGACGTAAGAATTCCCATAAACCTGATTTGTTTGACGCTACTCGGTCACCTTGATTTGGCTCTATTATAAAAGTCCATGAGGGTGATACTGAACAGGCTGAAGCTCTACTTTCAGGTCAACTCACTGAACCAACAACAAAGGAACCTCTTCAGTTGCAAAAGGCGGTGCTGGGGTTGCTTTCACCATTCGGTCTTCTGCCGCTAACAAAGGCATTCAACTGGGTGAATCGCACTCAAGAAATGAAGACACTCCAAGCCCAAAAGAAGGGAACCGAATCCAAGGAAGTCTCATCGGTTTTCGCTCACAAAGCGTCAAACAAACTCCGGGCTCCCAACGGAAGCTTGTTGCAACCGGTGGTTCTTGGGAGCCTAGAAAAAGCCACAGGACCACTCCAAGCTGATGCCAGGACAATGCCCTCACCCCGTGACCAGGGCGATGTAAAGATGGCCTTCGCGAGTGCGGGCAAAGCTGGTGCTCAAGAGAATCCGCAAGATTCATTTCCTCATTGGCAAGTAGAAACCAACTTGTCGTCATCAGGCGGAGGGCAACACGTTGAACACATGGTTATTTGACTCTAAAGAACTGCGGATGGGGCTGTGGCGCCACGGCAGCGCGCCCGCTCGTAAGGGTTGGGAGGTTGCAGGCTCAATCTCTGGTCCTTTTAAAGGGAAACCAAACGGAAAACCACTCTGGGGCACGAAAAAAGGACACGCCCAGACGGCTAATTAATTTGTTCAAGACGCTCGTTTTTCCCGTGGCTTCCCCGAAAAGCACACAATGGATCATTGAAAGGGCCTGGTTTGCATTTTATTTTTGTGTGTGTGTGGGTGTTTGTTTTGAGGCTCGGCAATTACCCTTCCAAGTGAAACAGGGTTGAACCCACAAAAAAATCTCGATCCATGTTGAGGGTCCGCCTTGGACGCGTACCACAGAAAACACAGAATGGCAATGGTGCAATGGTCAGTGAGGAACCTCCTTTTGAAAGAACCCCCGACGGGGATTTTTGTTTCCGATCCGAGAGTCCTTCCCTCGCACGAATGAGTCGACCGACTCGAGGGCTCCTGATCGGCAGCTGCTTGCCGTTCAGAGCAACCTGGGCCAAGGTGCACTGGAGTTGAGAGTCCCAACTTGCTGGCGATGGCCAGAAATAATCAAGCTGCGCAAAACCCCAGCCTGGCGACAAAAACAGCAACATACAGTCAGTTATCATCATCATTCAAAGATGTCCCCCACAACCTGCTAAGCCCCCCCCCCGAAGCAACATGCCTGCAATGCCTTGCTGACGGCCTTTTTACTTAACCCCTGTAGACAACTTCCAGTGGAGAGGTTGGAATAAGGGCACCCTTTCTTCTGCAGTCTATTTTAGTTGGGGAACCCCAAACCCCAACAAAGGGGTGAGAAAGGGCACCTAGCTGGGGCAGTCTGGCTGATGCCGGGAATCCGCCCGGTCTCCGAAGGCGACCAGAGTTCGGAGCTTGGCTTCGGTCCGCGGTGTCCAGTCGCACAAAAGCCCCCCTGACTTCAACATGGGCCCGCGGTCCAAGAGAAACGGACCATGGCCTTTCAACCAATGTCGCTGTCTTGGAACTTGGGGCCCCTTCTGTTTGTCAGTTCTGACGGGAAACGTGGTCAAATCGGAGGTCCATTCAACGAGCTCAAGACGAGGGTCGAGCCTCCCAGCAGCGCCGCTGGGTTCTTCATATCCATCCCTGTTGAGCCCGTCTTGCTTCCCTTTTGGCTTTGACAAGCATTGGTAATTTTAGTCTCACTTGCGCAAAGGACCTGGAAATGGACGGCTGATCCTTCCGGACAGCTTTGGGCAGGGATATGTTCGTAGGTTATGCTTCGCATCCCGCTACACATTAGCAGAACCAGGAACGACCAACGACCTTCCATTTCTGCAGCTTAATATTTCAAGTACTAAATAGATTCCCTTTCAACCCAGGCAAAGATCAAACATACGCATTTCAGCAAATGGAAGCGACTTGAGGTGTATCGCGAGTTGGTTTTCCTCCGCGCCTTGATGTGCTTGGCCGTGGACGCTGCGATGTCGTAGACCCGCTTCATGAGCAGGCTGCAGATGTCGTTGTCCTCACACGGAAGTTTTTTGGAGACGAACGGGAGATTGGAACGGTGGGGCCTTTGGGTGTGGCTCGAAAAATTGCAAAGGGGTAGGGTGAATTTCGCGGGTTTCAGTCCGTTCCATTTACTTCAAGGTGATCCATTTTGGTACATGTATTTGAGCCAGAGCCCTTTCTGAACAGTAAAGAGATGGGGAATCAACCGCGAGGTATGGTCATTTATTGGTTCCCCCGGAAGCATGAGAATTTGGGAAGTAACTCCTATTCCCTAATGGGCACTTTCTGCACGCACCGAAACTCCCTTTCCTTTAGGCTATCCAAAACACATATTGACCGTTCATAGCCCACTGCCCCACTGAATGAAAATTGCCCTCGGACCTGCAAACCTAGGTCCTCCAGTAGAGAGATTAGAATAAGGGCACCCTTTTTTCCTTTTTGTCTATTTTCGTAGGGGAACCCTCCCCAACCAAAAAAGAAACGGTAAAAGTTGGCACTACTGGAGGACCTAGAAATCAACCGGCTTCGACTCAAAACTCGCCCAGCCCGCCAGGGTTGCTCTCAGTGGGCCGAGAAAGGCAAGCCAAAGCACCGCGAGTTTCTAGCCTCGGGTGGTCAAATTCTTGACGTGCCTCAGCTTTTGCAATAAAACCCAAGCAAATACGTGGGAAACAAAAAAGCACGAGATTGACAACAGAAAAAAAAAAAAAAAAACACCATACATATATTGAACCCCAACAACGGGAAAAAAAGAAGAAGCCAAAAACGAGATTCGCAGTTTAACGGCCACGAGTCGGTTCTCTGCGGTCCCGAACGCACTTCCTACGAAAAATCCGACTCATCCCGACCGCCCGGTCCAGGCCGGTCATGCCGAAGCGGGGGAAGTCCGGCCAGAAGGTCACCTTGGTGTACTCCTTGCTGGTGCAGTCCTCGACTTTGGCGCTTTGCGCTCCGCGAACTCGATTCGACGCCGATTTTGAGACAGGAGAAATACCGTGGATGGTTGCGAAATCCGCTTCTGGCACCACTCTCAGGTGATGCGAAATGGATCTCGTCCATCCACAGTATGTCTTCAGATTGGGAGGACCCCCAGCATTCTCCGAAAGGAGATTCCTCCAAGCGAGGTCTTGTGGCCCATGTTCAGAGTTTCCCTTGCACCATGGAAGTGAACAGCACGAGCAAGTTAAAACGAACTCATTCCCGACTCATGTTGGAGTATTCAACCTGGTGGATTGTTAGGGGTGTGTCTGAATGCGAAGGATGAGCCTCTGGGCCCCCCCCCCCCCCCGAACCAGGGGGTCCAATGACCTCTTTGGATTGGCTCGAAGGCGCACATCTCCATACCCACTGGGGGACGGGCTGTGACCACCGGCGCGTTCTTGTGGTTCATGTTCCGCTCGAAGACCTCGACTTGGCGTGGAATCGGACTTCATGGATTCGAAACGCCTGGTGTTGACATCATCTTAGGATTTCTTCATGCCGGTACTTGTCAGGGCTCCTTTGGATGATTTTTTCATAGGTCGACGAGACAGACTTTGGAGATATCCAGACTCACATCTCCCATGTCACGGGCCACGGGTCTTTCAAATCCATTTCACGAAATGAATCAATGGTTGAAGCCATACTGTTTGCTGGCATATGCTGGGGAATTGAATCAAACACCAGGGCTTCTGAAAGGCGGTGCCTAAGAGGATTTTGTCCCAAATATCGCCCCAGGAAACTTCTGTCTTAAGATGTGTTTTTCCAGCCGAAACAAATGTAGGACACCTCTACCTCTGCCCCCAGAAGAAACTTGCACATTGATTGGTTCTGGGACATATGTCTTCTTTTGTGGGGCAACCCCCTCTTCTTAGTTGTTTTAAAGGGACACCAAAAGGAACCGCCACCAAAACCCTTAACACACACAACATATTAATATATATAATATAACACACACAAAGTCCATTTAGAGAAGCTGTTCAAAGGAGATCCCCACGCCGTCACTCGGCCCCACTGGCTTTCGAGGGATCGATGAGGCACTCGAAGATCAGACGTAAGGACCCAAACAAGGACCTTACGATGCTGAGGTCCAGCGGAGAGCTTAGAATACGGGTACCCAATTCTTTTTCTGTTGTATGTTTCAGTAGGGGAACCCTCCCAATTAACATAGGGGAGAGAAGGGCACTGGGGGACCTAGTTATCCCCGTGACCCCCAAACAAAGAGTCGGCGCACCCTCAAGAAGCGAGGTTGGAAACCCCACCCTTTTCCCCAAACAACAACCATAAGCAGGACCATAGGGTTGGACTGTGCCTGGGTGAACTTCTTCTTGCTGCTCTTGTCCACCGTCTCAATGATGAACTTCTTGGAGAAAACATTTGTGAGCTTCGCTCCGTACCTCTCGCGAGCCGGTCGCGAGAGGTCCTTTCACTTCACTATGAGGAAAGATGTTATGTCCTCCAGTACAAAGGTTAGAATAAGGGTACCAACATTTTCTGTAGTCTATTTTATTAGGGGAACCCTCCCCCCAAAAAAAGTGAAAGAAGGGCACAAATGGGGGACCTAGGGACTTGCCCTTAACTCCAAAGCTGGGGCTTAAGGACATCTCACTGGGCTCGGGAGCATATCGTGCTGATATTTTACGCCTCAAACTGTCAAAGGATTCAACGCCGAGCCCCGGCCTTCTGAATTCAATTGATAGCCCTTTGGCAATCCCCCCCCCCAAGGGCTTCACTTCTTGACTAGTTACACCAAGGTAGATTTAAACCCAGGGGTTCTCCTTTTTTTGGTAATGAACCACCCCTGGGTTTAAGTCTAGCCTGGGGCAGTCAAAAGTGGAAACCTGCCCCCTTCATGCGGTTTGGTCGCAAACCAAAACCTCTGCTTGCAATTTGTCCGTCCTGCCATGTTGCCTTACTGTCGTCACTCGGAGGAGAGGATTTGGCAGTCAGGCATGTTCAACCCATACGTACACATTGTTCATCGATTCATATCTATAACCTCTGGCATCCCTTGTTAAAGCATGAGTCTGGCAAGAACTGTTTACCCTGAACCCCCAGTGGCCATGGGAAAAAAGCGCACTCTTTCTTGAAGTAGATGATTTTAAAGGGAAAGTCCAAAGGGCAACGGAGGTCGAACAGGCTACAGGTGCTTGAAGCAAGGTGGTCCAACGGTTCAGTTTCACTGGTCGAACTTCCTTCGATCTCAGTCACGCCCTCGCACTTCGACAAGCATATTTTTCCAGTAAGAACAACAACCACAACAACAACAAAAAACAGAGGTCCCCCTGCTTTCTTCTTTAGGACACCTGTAAAAACAGGCCCCTTTGTTTACGAAACACAGGGGTCGCTGGATTGCCAAAAGAAAAACACCAAACAAATCCGGCGCCGTGGCTCTCGAAAGGAGCGAGCAAAATTCGCTTGCCAAGGCGCCCGTTGCGTCCACCCGTCACCTTCTTCTCATTGTCATCCTGGTCCGCCGGTGGGTTCTATCCCGAGATGGTGTTCTTAAGAGACAAGGGGAGCTTGGGAGGGATTGATGGCTTAACGCCGCGTAGTGTCCACAAGCGAGATGGCCTTTTGGAGGAGATCACAGATAAACGAGAACAAACCGTAAAGCGATGGACTCCATGAATCCATTTTCAACCAAGGACAGCCTTCCGGGTTTGAGCCCGTGTTTATTTGGAGGGCACCTGTTCTTGGGGGCTTTAAAGGGAAACGACGGGAAACCACCATGCTGAACCCGAGGCCGCGGCATAGTTGTCGCTGGTGAGCAAATGGCCGAAGATCAACTCGGGCACATAGCACCTGAGGTCTTAGAGGCCGGGTGGTTCGCAGAGGCTTGTGGGGGTGCCCATAAAAGGGGGGCGGGAGGGTTCCCTTTGGTCGTTGTTTTTTGGGACACACACCCTCACGAAAGAGGATCACGCACCTCTGTCGCAGAAATCAACTTTGCCAACGGTAGAGAAGTGGCTATTTCTCTTTCTACTGCAAGTAGCATAAGTTTTCTGTGACGGAACTTGGTTTGAACAAAACCCCTACAAACCCCTTTCTATTGCTAGGGCCAATGCGATGGCCCTCCGATCCGCTCAAAGTGACTCACTTTTCGTGGGTGAAATGGACACCGCGAAAGAACCCAAGTGGAAGAACCAGCTGCCTGGGGATCCCCTGCGCATGAAATGGAAACCGCCTAAAGCCCAGAAACCCCCGGCTAAACGTGAATTAATCACCTTTAGTAGAAACCGCAAAAAAGCCACCCAAGTGCCAACAAAAAACCGCTACGCCTGGGTCTCGAACTGTCGCTCGTTTCGAGACCCCGGCTTGTGCTCCTTGTGGATCTGCACAGGGATGCCCTGGCCGTTATTCAGCACCTCAGGTCGCGAATGGATGGCGACGGCTTCAGAAAAGGCAAACAGCTCTGTTTTTTTACACGCATACATACATATTGTTGTCCCCCCAATTCTTTGGGCCCCATTGTATGTCATATCTATTATGTATCCCCCCCCCCCCCTCCAACTCTTTAAATTCTGAAACCGTTTCTGGGCCACCGCGTTTCAGAATATATTCCTCCCCAGTGATTTGGGACATCCGATCATCTGAATATCCCGGGCCGCGTGTTCTGCGGGCCTTATGCCCTCGGCTCCCGGGCGGAGATGCAGTTCAGCTGACGGTCGATGTTCACTTCGATGAGATCCATCTGCGCACGGCTCGCGGGCACAGCACCCCCACAAGCGGTGGCTTCCTCTTGGCACCCCTGTAAACACTACTGCCCAGGGGAGAATCATTTGCTGATTTCCTTAGTTTCCCTCGAACGTTCACTCATTTGCTGCTGAATTGTGGCCAAGTCATCCCCAAAAGCTCGATTGATTCTCATTCCGTAAGCGAGCCAAAGGAAACCCATGAAGAAACTGTCAAAGAGTTGGCATCCCAATCTACCAAAAGAGTTTGTTCAAAAAGGCATCCCGTTTTGTTCAAGCCGTGTTTAGACTACAAGTGAAGAACCCCTCCTTTCAAGGGATCCCCTGGTTTAAAACAAAAAGGGAAAGTGACAAAAGGCCAAATTCACCTGGTTCGAGTCGCCTGACGCCGGGGTCTCTGAGGACGGGTGGTGGTGTCTGACCCGGTTTTCCTTGCTGAAAACGAAAAGGCCATATCATGCCATTCGGGGTTTCCACATAATTGGAGCCCAACACCACCTGAGATCCGCTCAGCTGGTTGGAGCTTCCCTTGGCAGAGGAGATCTCACGTGTTCAATGTTGTACATGCCTGGCTTGGGCGGTCTTCGACCCCGTCGCACAAATCGAAGACTCGTTGCAAACATCGTCAGGGAATTGTTGATCAAGCTGGAAACACAAAGTGGCATCTGTCAAACAGGGTTCCATGTGTTGATTCTCCCAAGGACTTTCACCAACGGACTGAACAACCCTTTCAAAGGATCAACAACCCCGGTGAAGCAGTCAGGAACTCCGCGGGCCGGATTCGGACGCGCAGATTGGTAAGAAGAAGCTTGGCTTGGTCTTGCTTTGCAGGGCGCCCATCACTTTTGCCTGCAACACACGTACCCGAAACAATTTGGCGGTCTGCCTAAGGAAACACTTCGGACCAGGATGCCATCACAAAAAAGGCCGGCCACTCCGCCCAACAGCATTCCAAAACGAGCACTACTCGCCTAGGTCCTGCAGTAGAGAGGTTAGAATTAGGGTACCAACTTTTTTCTGTAGCCTATTTTAGTAGGGGAACCCTCCCAACCAAAAAAGGGTTTTTAGGGGAACCCTCCGACTCCCCACCAAAAAATGGCTTTTTAGAAAAACTTTCCCAACCCAAAAAGGGTTTTTAGGGGAACCCTCCCCACCCAAAAATGGCTTTTTGGAAAAACTTTCCCAACCAAAAAAAGGATTTTAGGGGAACCCTCCCAACCAAAAAAGGGTCTTTAGGGGAACCCTCCCAACCAAAAAAGGGTTTCTTAGGGGAACCCTCCCAACCAAAAAAGGGTATTTTAGGGGAACCCTCCCAACTAAAAAAGGGTTTCGTTGGGGAACCCTCCCAACCAAAAAAGGGTTTTTAGGGGAACCCTCCCAACCAAAAGAAGAGTTTTTAGGGGAACCCTCCCAACCAAAAAAGGGCTTTTTAGGGGAACCCTCCCAACCAACAAAGAGTTTTTAGGGGAACCCTCCCAACCAAAAGAATAGTCTTTAGGGGAACCCTCCCAACCAAAAAAGGCTTTTTTAGGGGAACCCTCCCAACCAACAAAGAGTTTTTAGGGGAACCCTCCCAACCAAAAAAGGGTTTTTTAGGGGAACCCTCCCGACCAAAAAAGGTTTTTTTAGGGGAACCCTCCCAACCAACAAAGAGTTTTTAGGGGAACCCTCCCAACCAAAAAAGGGTTTTTTAGGGGAACCCTCCCAACCAAAAAAAGAAACGGTTTTCAGGGCACCTAGCTGGAGGACCTCGTCGCTCCTCGCTTGGACTTCGCGTCGCATCGCCTTGGAGTCGCGCTTCGAGTTGTCTGCTGCGTTCACCAGGATCTCGTCGAAGATCTTGTACAAGGCCGGGACCTAGGCCATGTCTGTGCGGAGTTGGGATATGGCCCCCCCCCCCCCACACACTTCTGGGTTTTTCGTTTTTGGAGGGTCAGCCCCCTTGTGGGTGGTTTTAAAGGGAGACCACAAGGAAAGCCGCCCCTTTTGGTTGTCCCCTAAAAAAGACACACCCAATACACGCTCACAAACGGAGCAGGATCAGAAAGCAAACGCCAGGGTCTGCGAACCGGCTCCAAAGCGGGATGCAATCTAGCACTCACCGAGCTACAAGGCGCGATAGAAACTATCGAGCAACTGCCCAGCTAAGTTGTAGGCTTGTCCTCTAGGCTTTTGTAGTGTGGAGCCAATTGGACAAAAACTGGGGGTTGCTAAAAACACTGAACCTTTTGGATGTTGTGAACTGAACAAGGGTCAACAGGAAACCGCAGGAAGCATCTAAAGGACAACACGCAAGCACATCTTGTCCGAACCAATGACCAACAGTTCGTCTTACCAAAATCCATCAAGCAACAAGCACACTTGATACAACCAATTGGTCTGGGTGTCAAATAGAGGGTGGGAAATCGCACAGTATGAGCTATTTAGCAAGGGGTAGCCGGGGTAGCCTGACTAAGTCTCTTAAGCTGTACATCTATTTCCACTAGTGATAGCTTGCCTTTAAAGCCAACAGGGAACCATAAAACATCTTCAGCAAATGGAAGGCTAGCCTTCTGTCCAACAACCAAACCTCTGTCTCTCGATCGGCTGAGGCTTTTGCGTAGTCGATCTTCCGATAGACCATCTGCCCCTTCGCCTGCCAGCGAATGGAAGTGGCCCGGACTTGTTTGCGTACCACCAAACATTATCTTCCTAAACAGTTTGAAGCCCAAATTGGGTAATTAAGTGATATACTGCTGATATTAAAGAAAGGTGGTGGGACATCCTCAAGAAGTCATCCGTGGAATTCTTGCAGGCCATCCGAATGAACAAATCCTGCTGAATCCATGAGGTAGGAGCGCTGCCCGATAAATCACGACATGCATTTGCTACGGGTTTACCTGGCAATGTTGGTGCCGGGAATTTTTGGTGAAAAAAGTGCAGGTTTCCTCGTCCATGGCCAGGCCATACCCTACCTTGTGGGATGCCTCAATTCCATCACCCCCCTCCCAAATAGTCCCAGGTCCTCCAGACTTGAGAGGTTAGAATAAGGCTTCCATTTTTTGTGTAGTCGATTTTAGTAGGGGAACCGAATCTCCCAACCAAAAAAGAAACGGTCAGAGTTGGCACGATCCTGACCTAGCCACTGCGAAGAGACCCGGTGGGGATTGAATTTTCTGGGCGGACTCACTGGGGCCTCATCAAAGACCCACATCTCCTGCAGCTGGTGCTCCGTGGAGCCTCAGTCAACCCTGGGCTGTCAGCGATCCTCGCAAAAAGTGACTCACTTTCAGTGGGTTAAATGCGGACACCAACCACGAAAAACACGGAAAAGGCTAAAAAGCTAAGGAACCGGATGGCAGGGAACCAAGATAAACCATGGCCCCCTACCTCACTCCGCCTCCCTTCATCCGCAATGCTGCATCGACATGGCTAGGTTGCTCGAACGGACCTGACAAAAAGCGAACCATGTGTTGCTCTTCAGGATTTTTTGACTTGGCCACTGTCCTAGGGTCAAACACTTCCTTCTGCCGCTTGCAGGGCAAACCTTTTTTTTGTTGCACGTGGTTCATGGAAAGATTGGGTGAACACCCGTAGATAAGTCAGCGAAAAGCCGTGCTTGCGAGGTGCTTTCGGCAACACCGGAGCTTGGTTGGTACGTGCTTGGGCATGTGCCAAAGGAATTTGGACCATGGATTTCCATTTGAATTCCCTTGAGCTGAAAGATCCAACTCGAACACACAGCCTTTCATCCAAAAAGGGCTTCAAGCGCTGGGGCTCTTTTGGACTGCCTTCCACAAACCTCCCGGTACCTGGTCTTCCATTTGCTCAAGCCGCCTGGGAAACAAAAATACATAATATTTCCAGTAGTGATAGATTCCCTTTAAAACCAACAAGGGAAAATAAACACATTCTTAAGCAAATGGAAGTGGTGGGAAGATGCACACTGACCAAGGAGCTTTTTTAAGCAAGTGGAATCAACAGAGCGAACGCCTCTTGTAGCGGGACTGTCCAGCATCCAGCTGCAATCGCGCCCCTTCACTGTGGCTTCATGCGGCGAACCCAGAAAACGGGCTGAATCTCTTCTGGCTTTCCTTTGAATCAACTCCTAGAAGCGTACCCAGGGTCAACCGAAAACCCAAGGCTGGCGTCAACAAACGGCATATGGCCATGGGTCAAAATCCAAATACCCACAGTGAACATCCCAATGCCCACAAGAGACAAAAATGGGTGGTGAATTCACCTACCCCAAAATGGGTATGGCTCAAAATTAAAGAGCTGGGTTACGCGGGTTTTAGTCTTTGGTTCCACATGGTTCCACTTACCAGGGTGCCATGTTGGTACCACTTTTTTGAGCCACAGCCAAATGGTTGATCCCAAAACGGTTCTGACCACCGCTGTATCCGTATTGCCCGGGCTCGAAAACCTCCACGCTGAGGACTGTGCCGACATAGGTGTCCTGGGCGCAAAAAAATGGGCAGCGCAACTTCCATTTGCTTGAGCCCCCTGGAAAAAATAAAATATGTCCGGTAGTGATAGATTCCCTCTAAATGCCAACAGGGAAAAATAGAAAGACATATTCTAAAGCAAATGGATGGCAACAGTCCAGGCCGTTGTTTTGCGCTTGCCAACCGCGTGTCGAACACTTTACCCAGTCACTTCTGATCGAGTGGATTGGCCAAACAAAAATGCGAAGGTGAGGCGCTTTGGCCTTTTCTAGTCTCCTTTGGATATCTAAAGCAAACATCTGCGATGGGTCACACATCCCATGGTGATCTGATTCGGTAAGATTGTTGCCCTTGAGCGGCATATATGGCCCCAGAGTTGTGCCCACCCAAACTGAACTCGGTTGCTTTCTGCTCCCCTGGTAAAAGTTTAACCTTTAGTGGTTTCATGGACAACTCATTAGTTGGCAAAAAGTTAAAGTCCTAACATCCAAGCAAAATGCACCAAAGTGAACACATGTACCCTTCCTCCTTGCAAATAGACGACAATTGGACTTCTCCTGAGGGGCGACTCTTTCTGGCCGCGCACCTTATGTTGGTTTCACATCAAATTGTGTGTCTTAGCGGAGCATGACTTTCCCTGTGTTTCCTTTTGTTGCAACCCCAAAAAGGGTATCCTCAAAAACAGACATGCCCGCATTTGATGAACCTTTTTTTAATGAACCTTTTGTTTTTGATGAACTTTTTTGTTTTTTTAACGGCCGCTAGAAGGAGCTCCTGTGCCAAAAGATGAGCCTTAAAAGGTTCATACATGGTCAAAGGAGATCCCAGCATAAGCGGCTGGGAATGTTTTTGCACGGCAAGCGTCTGGTCGCAACAGGATGTGCTCGAGCTGTGTCTTCTTCCTCAGGCGGGAGCTTGGGACATTTTGAGACGCACCAGAACTGGTGAATCTTCATGGTCTCTCCTCTTGTTCTACTTCCAAATTGGCCAAACTCAGTTTCCCTTTTTGGCTTCTATGGCTGCAGGTCACGCCACCAATCGGCACAAAACCAATCGGAAAATGTCAAGATGCATGACCATGAGCCAAAATTGGATTGGGGCGGTTTTAAAGGGGAACCAAAAGAACCCCCAAATGATTGGGGGTGCCCCATGTTCACAGACAGTCAGCAAACGCAGGCACTAGAAGCATGGCTGGGATTGGACAATAATCAGGAGCTCATAGAAAACAACAATTGTTTTGCTGCGAGAACTTTAAACTTGCTTTCAAGAAGCCTTCTTCAATCAGGGCTGCCCTGAAAGGGCTTCTAGCAAAGAAAATCTAGCAAGCATCCGACATCAACTTCCACTTGCTCAAGTCTTCCGGAAAAAATGAACATATGTCCAGTAGTGATAGATTCCCTTAGCAGAAAACAACCGGAGGGAACAAACGCATTCTTCAGCAAATGGAGGTCAACACGACTTGCTCCTCTGAGTGTCGGGCTGGTAAATTTGCTCGATGGTCTTCCCTCGTCTCAGCTGGTTCCTGGCACTGAAGAGACAGGTTTGTCTTCAGGGTTTGATGGTATGTCTCGAGATCCTAATATGGGTATGTGGCTTTCTCTGCCCCCCCCAACCCAAAAACGGTACCTCCGAACATCAACATCCATTTTGGCAGACTTCCAAGAGAAATCAGTGGCCCTTTTTAGGCCCGCATGCCTAGCCGCCAAACAAATGCCAGACCTTGAACCAAAAGGTCATGCCAACTGCGAATATGACAAATAAGAAACTGCAAGCCAAAAGGCCAAAAGGTGAAACACCTTATTGGCTATGTGTGTTAACCCCGTTTTTGGTGGCTTTGAAGGTTTCCCAAAAGGAACACCAACGTGTTTTGTTTTTGTCCAGGGTCTCATATCATTACAAAAGAGACACCCACATCATTATTTCATTTTGATAGGTGACATTGTCTGAATGAGTGATAAGTTGCGGGTAGACAGGACGATAAGCTGGGACGAGATGCGGTTCATCCGTGGTGAGAAAGAGCCTACTGCCACCACAAAGTAGAATAATCTACCGGGAATGCATAGTGCACCATAACTCTACTAGTGATACCAACGTGATCTGTCCTTGCAGCTAATCTACGTGTATCACAAAGCATGGACCAAATCTGATCTTGTCTGCATTACTGCAGACCGAGAAAACTGTGGAAGAGCTGATGCATTCGGTCTTCTAGGGGATGATTCCATGACCATTCTTTTCAGCCATCGTTCTTTTCAACAGAAACAGCTGCTTTCCTTTAGGTTTCCTGAGCAACCTTTGTGGGAAATCGGTCGGAAATCCACTCCTGCCACCTGATTTGGGGTCGGTTTTCAAAAGGAAGAGAAATGAGTGCTAACCCCTTGGAGGGCTGATTTCTAGTTGAGGCACATACCTGCAACTCCAAGTCAGTCCCATTGGTGAACTATGGTCAACTACACCTCCTGGAAACTAAGATCGTCCCCAACAAGGGGCCAGAGTCCCCTTTCAATGAAGGTGTTTGGCTTGAAGAAAGCGTGTAAGGCCACGATCAAAGTTACTTGTTCAAAGGACACGGGACAATTAGGGAGTTCGTAGGGTTTTGCGGACAATTTTTATGTCTTCACGTTGACCATGTGCCTGTAATTTTCCTGGAACCTGTCATTTTCAGCCCCAGGTTGCTGAAACCTAAGCATCAAAAAGCGACGTCTCGCCCCACGCAGCGGCATGCCGGGCACACGCTCTGGCCGGGCAATTTTCCACCTGAGGCATCCGATGTGTGGGAATGCCCCTTCTCTGCCGAAAGGACCTCCAGTAGAGAGGTTAGAATAAGGGGACATTTTTTTCTTCTGTCGATTTTAGTAGGGGACCCTCCCAACCAAAAAACGTTGGTAGGCACCTAGAGGACCATTTTGCTAGTTTCCAGTCGAACACGTGTATGCGGTCGAACACCAAAGCGCTGCAGCGCAGCTTCTTGGCCATGAACTTGATTCCGGAAAAGCCAAGGTCTGTTTGCACCTTTCGGAAGGCAACGGGACTCTGGCGACCCTCTCTTGGCAACTCTGAACGACAATTGTCCATTCTTTTCCTGGGTCCGATATTTTTTTCTGTAGTCTATTTTGGTAGGGGAACCCTCCCCCCAAAAAATTGGTAAACGGGCACTACTGGGGGTGGCAATCCGAGTAAATCGTCCACACTCAGCTTGACCCACGCAAGCAAGTCTCGGCATCCCTCGCGGCTCAAAAATTCGGGGGTTGGCCAATCCCAAAACTCAGACCAGTGACCCTGGAAAAAAAGGGGACCCTTTTGGCACGTGACGCACGAATGTCTGTCGCGCGTAGGTCGTAGGGCATGCCGCCCTACTACCGGTGAAAAAGGGGCATCAGCCCCGCACACAGACCCCCAGGAGCGGCTCAACCGGGGGTGTGAAACCTGGCAGGTCCAAACACCAGTGGAAAGGGGGGGGCCCCCAGTCCACTGGTGTGTAAAGCACACAGTCGACGAGCCCGAACCCACCAGCCACCCCCGGGAGCAGGGCAGGCACAAAGTTCCAGAAGGCCGGCTGACTGTAGACCAGGGTCAAGGACGACCTCAGCATCGTATCCCGTGTGGGACACGGGATTGCCCAAACTGCACCCATAGTTGCAGGCCATAGAACCTGCAAGCTCCCCTCATCACAAACGCCCGGCGGGGCACACAGGCGCCCACGCGCATAGCCATACCAGAGAGGGACCGAGGAAAACCTGGAGCTTCAAGACAGCCGCCCACACTTGCAAGCAGACGCCTGAACAGGCACTCCAGCACGGGCTGCCCAGCTTGTAGTACGTCGGAGTACCTCAAGTCGCCACCTGAACGGTCCACAATGGAGCAGACGCCCGCGAGGGCAACCGCCACGGCCATAGGCTACTGTGCAGCCATCAAGGAACCGCCCCTACCCAATCTCTGGGTACCCTGCCGAGGCGGGATGCCCGGAGCAGGACCCGCTCAAGCCACTTCTGCACATCGGTGCGCTGGATGTAGACGCCCGGCCGGATCCGGGGCCACCTGCCTCTTGACCAGTGCCTCGGTTCGGTTGAGCTCATGCATGCACGTTGCAACCATGCGGCGGACCTTGCGGCCAAACGTGCGGCTCGTGCTTCTCTTGCCCTTCCTGGCTCCAGCAGCTTTTCCTTGCCTTGGCGGCCACCCCTGTTCCTCCTCCGCCCCCGGAGCCCCCTGATCCCGACCTGAAACCCCTGTTGCCCTAGGTTTCGCTGTAGGGGTAGGACCTTGCCATGGCCGACCTTGCTGCGTGTGGAGAAGCTCCTCACCAAGCCGTTGGACTGGCCTCACGGCCCTCTGCAGTGGTGGGCCTGGTGCAAGGCCTTGAGCTCAGCCACTTGGGAAGTGTGCCGCGGGGAGCTCCAGCCCGGCCTGGAGGCGGCCCTGCTCTTTTGGCGGCGCAGCCCGGGCATTGTGCGGTATGCTGGTGGTGCAGCCCGTGACCTCCTGGTGCACTTCAAGGCTCAGTGAAGGGTCACAGCAAAGCCAGAGGTGGCAGGCAGGTGGACCAAGTCCCATAGGGACTGCCAGATGTCAGCAGCCGCAGCATTGGGAGGCACATACCCGCGCTGGTGAAAGCCATGCCAGGCACGGACAGCAGCCTGGGAGTCCGTGTGGACTGTGAGCCGCCCACGAGCAAGCTGAGCGGCGCACAAGATGGCGTAGACCTCAGCACGGTAGTTGTCCGCGAGGACGGGGCCAGAAGCGCACACGCCAGCAGAAGCACTGACCACAGCAGGTGGTGAGGTAGGAAGACGCTGCCATCAGTCCACAGGTGGACATCACCACCACCATACCTGGGAAGTGGGGTGCTTGAGGGCCAGCCCGAAGGGCAGCATGGGCAAGATCCGCAGGGATTTCAGCCAGGGCATGCGTGTAAAAGGATGGACCCTGGGCCTCACGCTGGGCAGGCGGCAAGCCAATGCGAGCATGGAGAGCACTGCACTGCACAAGGTGGGCTAGTGTCTCATCGGCTCCATCACAGAAGCGACAGCCAGGGGAGGCGGCAAGGTTGGAGGCATAAAGGCGGTCAGCCGTAGCCGCAGAGCCAACCACCACAGCAGGGGCAACCGCACGGTTGGAGGGGAAAGCACGGACGAAAGAGGTCCAACCAGGGCCAGGTGGCACAGACCAAGGAGACCGAGTGAGGGCGACATCGAGGAGGCCGGATGGCCCAGGGGCAATGTCAGCACGCTTCCCACGACAGGCACGCTGGTAGGCGTGCTGGGCGATAGTCCACTGCAAGAGTCTTGCCAGGGAACGGAGGGAGACACTAAAAAGGGACATCCATGGCCCCGAAGCAAGAGCAATGTCCGCAGAGGCCCGAAAGCGCAAACCGCACAAGGTGACCGCAGCAATCACGTTGGAGACCAGCGTGGAAGGCATAATTCTAGGTTTGGTATTTTACCGCGATCCGCCACTGGATGGCAAACTTCTCCGACGCTGGAGGTGGGAAGCCACATTAAGTACGGCGCGGTACGCCATGGCGTACTCAGGGTGCACCAGATGTCCACGATGGACAACCGCAAGTAGTAACTCGCGAGAACGCCAGCCAGGCCGACCATCCCACAGGACACCCGCAACCTCAGAAGCCAAGGCAGAGAGCAGGCCACGGGGAACAAAGTTGAGTTCCGCAGAGTAGGTAAGCATGGGCATGGCCTTGTGAGCAACGAGGGTGGCTTTGGCAAAGGGGGAAAGGGGCAACACACGGATGGCCCTGAGTGCTGCCCGAAACCGAGCGATCGCAGGGGCACGCGCATCCTTAGTGCCACGCAAATCCAAGTTGATGCACACGCTGAGTGGTGGAAGGGAGCGCAGACGTGGCGCACCGGGGAGAGCTGCCTGGAGCTGTGGGGCAGGGGACTCCTGGGTAGTCCACCATCCAGATTTGTGGAGGTTGAAGAGCTGGCCAGAGAGGCCATCAAAAAGAGAAGTAGCCCTAACAGCCTGCACAAGGGAGGGGATGGCACCGGCGAGGAGACGGACATGTAACCGTCATCAACGTAATTGATTAATAAAGGGCCCCCCCCCCAAAAAAAATGGAGAAAACAGGGGGCCTGGGGGGAAGAGGGAGGAGTGTTGGGGTTATTGGGTCAAATGTTGTTATCCAACGTTTTAACATCCTTGTTTGATTTCATCCTATATTTTGTTGTAGGGTGTTAGGGGTGGATTTTCTGGGGGCCGACATTTTTTTCATTTGAAAGAGTTAGCCCTTTTAGTAGTTATTATGTTCTGAGGTGTTGGCGGTTCATTTGTTTATTCCTATTCTTGTTCAAAGTCACTTGTTGTTTCCATGTAATCTCTCACAGTATCGTTATTGTTTTCTTGACCTTTCACTCTTAGTTGGTGCTTACTTGTTTGTAGGTGTTTTTTCATTTTGTATTTTCCTACCATACATTTACATAAAGGACATTCTACTTTCAATTGGTTATAGTCTTTCTGTTTTTCATTTATGTCTTCTTTGTTCTTTTCTCTATAGTCTTTTGATTTTTGCTTTATTTCGTCTTTATGCTTTTCACGATAAATCTTGTTCTTTTCCAGTATAGTGTCTTTGTTATTCTCTCTATATGTCTTTTTCTTCTCTACAATCTGCTCTTTGTTGTTTTCGTAATACTCCTTTGACTTTTGCTGTATTTGTTCTTTGTGTGCTTCTCTATACCGTTGTTTGCTCTCCAAGCATACATTACATTGTTTTCTTCCCTCGTTGAACTTTTCTAACAATTGAAAGACTTTACATTTCGAACATTGCTTTTTGTCTGTCATTGGTCTCTATATGTTTAAGGGGTTATTTATTTAGATAAGTTTAAGGGGTTTTATAGGTTAAAAGTTCAGTATAATTATAACATATAAGATTTTACATGTTATTATTATATTATGATTATAATTTCAGTACAGGATAATAATTTAATTGACAAATCTTTCTTCTTTCATACATCATTTTAAAAATAATATTAACATCTCTCACTGTATTCTGAACATTAAACTTTTTACTTTCAATAAATAATTTGATATTTTCTTTAACATCTTCTCCTTTATCTTGACTATAACACAACAACCATAATATATCATCCATCATTTCATATTTTTTCTTACTAATTTTAAGAAACTGTTTAACATAATCATAAGGTGGTATTTTATTTACAGTTAGAAATATTAAAATATCATCTTCTACATTTCTATGTCGAATTCTTTTTATTCCCAACAGACATCTGATTAATTCTTGATAATATCTCCAATTTCTACAAATTTTACATAAATCTTCTTCATCCATTGAATAATTAATAATATTATTCACTATTTCATTAGGTAAGTTCAATTTATACAATTCCATATTTTCTTTTTTGAAGTGACAACAATCATAGCATTTTTTATCGATATAATTATTGATTCCATCACCGTTCATTTTTCTCTTAATATATAAGCTAATATTTCTTTAAGTAGTTTTGGCTAGGGGTTGTGGTTTAGTTATGAATTACACAGGTTCATCAACAATTAGTTTAAACCTTATGTTTTGTACTCCTTCAAAATTCATTCTACTTCTTTCACTATCAATACATCTGTATATTGTTTGATGTGCCTCTATCATTACTTCGGTTATATTATCTATGGTTATATTATCTACAAAATCATCACTATGAAAATGAAAACTAAAAGTGTTAAAATGATCGTCTTCATAATTGAAATGATGAAGCCTTACAAACATATTCACCTCAACTATTATCACTTCTCCATAACTGTTATCGGTTTCAATGCCATCTAACAAACAACCTAAGTTTTCATTTTCATTAAAAACTATATCTTCAATGCTTTTAATGCTTAAAGGTTTATTTCTTGAAATGTAATACTCAATTACGTGTCTCTTTATATCATCACCACCTACAACAGTTCGACGCTTTGTCTTTCTTTTTGTTTCTGTTCTGTTTATTTTATATTGTTGTTGTATTCTCTTTAATGTCTTAATATGATTATGTTTTATTTTCAAATACTCAGGCCCCCCTAATTTATATGAAATTATACCTTTTAATACATCAACAGGTAAGCTAGCACAATTCTTAACCATAAAATTATTCTCTGACATTTTACCCTCACTCATTTTTCTCTTTTATATAAGGTGTTTTCTCTTTAAGTAGTTTTGGCTAGGGGTTGCTGGTCGGCTGGTCTGGGTTTCAGGTTTAATTTAAATGTCTTAACCTTCTTGTTAGATTATAAAACAATGTTTAATCATATTATAATTGAATAATATCATTAAACTAAATCACTCACGCTTTCCATTCACCTATTCCATCCCACCAGAATTCAATAATTCGCATCTGTCCATCTACTAGACTGTCTTCTTTGTTTAGTTTCCGTATCGCTCCTGATAAGATATAGTGGTTAATAATCATTGCATTAAACTTTCCATCTCGGTTTAACTTTTTACCACAGTCTTTTATGATGTCTTCATCTGTTAGGTTTTCATACATTTCTTTCATGATGTCAAACCTAACAAATGAGTATATTGCCATCAAGTTTAATCCGCTATTATCCCTAAACCTGTTAATGACATCTTTCCAGAATTCTTCGTTTTCATCAACTGGTGGCAAAGGGTGTCTTTTGATGAAATCCTTTATTT